GAAATCTAGAAGCTAATTTTCTTTTAAGTTTAAATATAGTACTTAATCTGATCGAATTCTGGTATGTCATTCTCCCGAATACATCATGATGATTTTCGAATTACACATCAAGCACATAATTACATTAACATCATATGACAAAAGGTTCTACTAGCAAAATGAAATCATAGTATAGTATAGTATAGTATAGTATATAGTAAGTAGAATATTAAAAGAAAAGTTTTATATAAAAAAAGAGCAAACCAGATATATGGTTTTAAAAGGTTCAATTGACATCATCATTGAAACAACGTAGACGAATTGGAACAATTAATTCACAATCTTGACCATTTTTAAATTTGAATTCAATTTTAATACAATAAACTCTTGATAATAAACAAGTTTGAAAATTTGGAACTAATGTTTCAGCAATATCATTTTTTAATTCTAAATTTAATTCAACTTGCTTTATCCATTCATTAGATTGTGATGAATTTTTTGACCAATTTGATTGTGATTTAATTGAATAATCTATTGAATCAACTAATGAATTTTCAACTTGAAGATCTTTCATTGCAATCATATCACGATATAATGATGGTTCAATATAACGATCAATATCTAAATTTAATTTTTTGAAATCTTCAGATAATTCATTATAATTTTCAAAAAATTTATTAAATTTATTCTTTATATTTTTAGCACCATTTTCTGTAAAGAAATCAGCTGATAATTTTAATGGTATTGATGAAGTTGATGAAATATTTGAACTTAATAAAGATGCTTTAACATTTTTTAAATCTGGTAAATCAATTGAATTTGAACTAAAATCTGATGGAATAAATGATAAATTTAATTTTAAAGATGTCAATTTTTTCTTTTCATTTGCAGATAAAGATGATGATAAATTATCAATATTTTGAATACCAATTTCATTTAATTTAGAAATTTCATTTGTCTTTCTTAACATATTTGGTGAAATATATGGTAAACCATCTTTTGGAATTCTTGTTGAAATATTTATTAATCCATTTTGTTTCCCATTTGATTCATTTGTGTTTTTTTTAGAACTTCCTAATTTTAAACTATTCAAAAAACTTGATCTTGTATTTGATGAATCATTTTTTAAATATTGTAAATGAGTTTCAACTCTTGAGAAATCAGCATTACCAAAATTTTTATTTCTCAATGGGAAATTCACATCACTATTTCTAATTGATGAACCACTAGTAGTACTAATACTAGAACATGAATTTGAACGAACAGTTGATAATTGTCTATTTTTTAAAGATCTAATAAATTCTTCTTCATCTTCTAAAGTAGCATTTGAATTTTCCTTCTTCATTTTCAATACATGATTAGCAATTTCAAAACCATGATCAATTTGTGAAGTTAAATTATTTAAAGCAGATTTTGATGAAAATAATGGGACAGCAAACCCAAAAGGAATGAAACGTAAATGATATTCAAATTCTTTGATAACACATAATTTCTTAGGTCTTTTAGGATGTGTTGCAATAAGTTTAGCATTAATACTATAAGATATTGAATTATTTGAACCTGAAAGATCACGAGTTAAAATTGGTGAACCTCTTGTACCTAAATGACCATAATTTAAAATTGGATTAATATCAATTTCAGCGTATTTACCTTTCTTCTTAATTCTATCAACACCAAAACTTGGTGGTAATAAAGTATGAATTTCTTGTTCATGACGACAAGTTGTATCCAATAATTTATATGGAATTTTAAAAGCGAAAAATTTCTTATATTTTGATTTTGGTGCTAAAATTCTATCATTTCTTAAACCAATGATATAACCTTCTTCATCTTTTGAAAAAGCTTCATATTGTAAATTAGCAGCTGGTGAAACACATCCATAAGACCAAGAAGCACTCATATCAACCATTGTTAAGAATCTTTTGATACTTTGTTTCTTCTTGATTGGATCAATGATTGAAACATAACCTTCCAATGTAACATGAAACATTTGAAAATGAACAGGTTTATCTGAAGAATTTTCAAGTGTAACATACCCATGAACAACATCACCTGAAGTATATTCTTTCAACATTGATTCTAATTCATTTTTTTGATGTGGATGAGGAACATCTTTAGTAACATGAACACCAACTTGAACATCAAAAGAATCATAATTTGGTAATAAATGAGATTTATCAATCAAATTTCTTTCAAAATCTTCAGTAATTAAAGGATTATTCAAATCTTCAGGGGCAGAAATTGAAGCAGAACGACTATCATTTGCACTTAAAGTTGAAGAACCTGAATCATCAGCGATGGAACTAAAATAACCAGTAGAAGAAGTAGAAGAAGCATAAGATGGAGCAGAGTTTTGTGAAGATTCACCAGTAACATTATTTGAAATCAAATTTCTTGCATGATGATTATGATGGAAATAATCTGGAGGGAAATCATGATTATCAGGATTTTCAAATGAAGATTTAGGACCAACATTTTGCATAGAATGTAACATTTCAAAAGAAGGTAAAGTATCAAAAACAAATTGTTTTTTAGAAAATTTATCCATCATTCTATCATCATAATTCCATTGAGAAAATCCATTTTGAACTTTATCAAAATCAGTTATATTACCTTTTAATTTTGATAAAATTTCTTGAGAATTTTTGTTTTCTCTCAAGTAAGCATTTGTATAATCAATTCTTTCATCATCGTGATAATAATCATCATTTTCATAATCAGGAGCAATATCATTAGTTTTCAAAGCCGTAGCAGCAGTAGCAGTAGTAGCAGCAGCAGTTTCAACATCTTCACGTTTTGAATTCGATGACCCATTACGTCCTTCGCTTAATGAATAGTTTTCAAGCTGAGATTGTAATGAATCATCATTTTGTAGCGATTGTTGATAATGTTGACCATGTTGTTGTGAATGTAAATTACTTGATTGACCATTGTTGATACTAGGAGCAGAATTAGCAGAGCGGTTAGAAATAACGGAGACCTTTGAATTAATTTCTTTGTTTTGGTTATTTGGCATAAAAATATTGGATTCTTTTAGAATGTTAAAGTACGTTTATAATTTCTCTTTGTTCTTTTTATGTAATTGACTTTGAAGTTTTTAATCAATTGTGAATATCTATTATCTTTTTAGCTATTGGTAGTAGATTTGATAGATATACCTGTGTTTAATAAGTCAATTGGAATGAGATACGTAATTTGATGACCTTTCGAACTAACCGCTGATGTTCACAATTGAGGAATTCATACTCTTTTTATATTATTTATTCATTTTCAAGTATTTCAATTGTATTGATTCTAAGCCAATAATGAAAAAAATTATTTTAGTATATATGCACGAAGATCAGAACAAATATGCAAAAACCACAAAATTGTACGCATTGGGAATTGGGAACAACTTTATCAAGATGGTTAGACAAGGTTATGGAATAACGGTTAGACAAGGTAATATAAATAGAATTGTAAAGTACTACACTCATAAGTATAAAGGTGGAAAGGTTTTAAGTCTTGATCAAGTAACACTTAAGTGTATTTGCATCCGCTCCGATACAATCTTTATCACCATTATTCGAATCCCTTTCAAAACTTTCAAAGAAATACCAATTGATATAATAATTCTTAACTTGTGTGAAAATAAGTGAAAATATTTTCCTTTCAAATCCAGCTAATACTTACATTAAGTCCGTGTTTTTGGTATAAAATACACGGAAGTATCTAGATTGATTAAAAGATAACCGTTTTGAAAATATATGAGTCACAATTTACAAATGAAATGTCATTAATCACAAACATCAAATGAAAAATTTTAATTAGTGGAGATGGTTTAACATGATTGCATAATGATCTACTAAGAATGATAAGCTTTGACTTTAACCTTGATTCAAGTTTCGAATGGCCAGCTATACTATATACTATATAGTACTCAATTCATTTATACTTATTTAAATTATCTAGATCAGCTAGATTCTAGACCAGCGTGGCTGTTTATTATTGATCAAATTAATGACATATTTAATTAAATCACCAATTGAATAAATAATTGTTACGCGTATTTGTACGAGTATATTACTAATTGAATAATTAAGGAGACGCGATTATATAACAAATATAGATAACATTGAACATGGATCTTAAAGATATCAACTGCCTTAAAGAAGCTTACCATCGATTGCCTCTAACTTTCAGCTATCAACAGCTCTCTCAACTTATCGACTCAATACCATTTCTTTACCACACCTTGTGTCGAAATATGAATTCTCAGATTATCTGTATCTAAAAGTAAAAGCGCTTTCAAGTACTGATTATGAAAGCGACCGCTTAGGTGATATGTGAAATGCTATAGAACTTACAGGATTGTTATAGAACATTCATCAAAATTCTTGATAATATTATTTTTTGCAAATAAATTATTACCGTGTTATAAATGTTCTATGAATCAATGGGTGTCATAGGTGTCACAGTGTTCACGAGTCACAACACATGGGATTCAAATCTCCAACTTGGGTAATAAGCGGAGCTTCTCGTAAAGTATAAAACCAAATTTTAGCAGCTCAACAAGTTATGTTTTGCATAATAATAAATCTAAAATTAGTGCTTCTACAGCTAAACTTACTTTACTAACCATCTATCCGGGGATTATTATAATGATTAAATTAGAGATTCACTACTCCAGTTCAGGTCTAGACTATCATATTATCAATTATGTATTGTTATGTACTAAATCAAATATTCTTCAAGGATTAAAAATCATCAAATTTTCTAATACGAACTGGAATATGAAGTTTTTCAGTTTGACCATTTGAAAATTTAAAATCAATTTTAATACAATAAACTCTTGATATTAAACAAGTTTGAAAATTTGGTAATAAAGTTTCTGAAATATCTTCATTATAATCTAATTTCAATTCAATAATTTTGATTAATTCTTCATAACTTGTTTCATTATTATTATTAACCCATTCCGTTTCATTAATTATTGATTGTTTAAAAGGATTTATTTGAAATGGTTCAATATTTAAATCAGTCATTGATTCTAAATCTGTTAATAAAAACTTATCAAAATAACGATCTATATCCATATCAATTAATTTAAATTTTTCTTCAAGATCTTTAAATTGTTTGAAATATTTAAAAGATTTACTTTTAATTTCATTCAAATCTTCTTTTGATGTTAAAATATTTGAAGATAATTTAATTGGAATAGCTAGTGATGAAGTTATATTCCATGCAACTAATGAAGTCTTAATAGTTTTAATTTTTGGAGGAATCATTCCATGATAATTATCTGATGGAATGAATTTTAATTTAATTTTCAATGTTGATAATTTTTGTTTTTCATTATTTGATAATGATGATGATAATCCTTCATAATTTTGTAAACCAACTTCACTTAATTTATTCAATTCATTAGTTTTCCTTAATAAACTTGGTGATAGATATGGTAAACCATCTTTGGGGATTTTAGATGAAATTTTTAAAAGACCACTTCCTAATCCATTATTACCACTTGTTTCTGATTTAGATTTTTTCGTTAATTTGTTTAAAAAATTTGATTTTTTATCCTCTTTATCCTTAATATAATTCAAAACTGTTTCAACTTTATAATAATCTTCTTTACCAAATTTTTCATTCCTAATAGGGAAACTACTATAATCATTTGATGAATGCTTTTTTGTTGTTTCAGGTCTATAATCCAATGTTGATAATTGTCTATTCTTCAATTCCATTTCAAAAGCTTCAACTTCTTTACTATTACCTTCTTGATTCAACCTAAGAGCATGTTGAGCCATTTCTAAAGAATGTTCCATATTTGAGTATAGTGATTTTATTTCTTCTTCCGAAGAAAATAACGGTACACCAAATCCAAATGGAATAAACCTTAACGCATACTCTTGATGTTTTAAAACACATAATCTAGTAGGATCTTTAGGGTAAGTTCCAATAACTTTAGCATTAATACCATATGATATTGACAAATTATCACCTGAAAAATCATGAGTTTTGATTGGTGAACCTCTATAACCTAAATGACCATAACTTAATAATGGATTAACATCAATACTTGAATATTTACCAAAATTTTTAACAGTATCAACACCAAGACTTGGTGGTAATAATGTATGAACTTCTTGTTGATGACGACATGTAGTATCTAATAACTTGTATGGGAATTTAAAAGTGAAAAATTTCTTATACTTGGTACGTGGTGATAAAATACGATCATTTCTAAAGCCCAAAATACAACCTTCATGATCTGTTGATAAAACTTCAAATGCAATGTTTGATGAAGGAGAAATACCACCATGTGACCAACTAGCACTCATATCAATCATCGATAGAAATCTTTTAATACTTTGCTTTTTATTTTCATAATCAACAATACATGTTGTTCCTTCTAAAGTTAAATGGAATAAATCAAATTGTAGTTCATAATTTGTTAAATTTTCCACAATTACATAACCATGGACAATATCACCTGAAGTATATTCTTTCAATATGGATTCTAATTCAACTTCTTCATTGGCATGTGGAACATCTTTTGTTACATGGATTGAAATATCAATATTTGGAGTATTAATATTTCTTAAAGTATGAGATTTATCAACCATATTTCTTTCAAATTCTTGAGTAGTCAATAAAGGATTTGAGCTTGAAGGTCTTGTGATAGAAGATAATAAGTGGCTATGTCCACCAACTGCAGAAGAGACTGGAGCTGAAGAAATTGAAGTTAATGGAGTATCTGTACCAGTTGGCGAAAGTTCACTACCACCTTCATAATTGAAATAATCTGGTGGTGTATCACGTAAATCAGCATCATCATGAGATAATCTTGGAGTTGAATATTGAATGGAGCGATACATTTCAAATGATGGTAAAACATCAAATACAAACCTATTTTGAACTTTTTTATCTAAGTTTTTTTCAATAATATCAACATTTGGTACATAGGTATTTTGAACTTTATTATCATTAATATGAACAGCATTCATTCTTGACATGATTTCTTGGAAATCTTTAGATTCTCTCAAAAATATATCTGAATAATCAATCTTTTCATCTTCAGGGCCATATTGATTTTCTTCTTCAACTAATTCTTCAAATTTTTCTTCTTCATGATCAGCGCTTAATTGTTCATTATTTCTGTAGCTTTTGGAGCCAGGATGTCCACTTTGGCCTTGATGACTTGGACTAATAGTTGGATGTTGTGGTATTGATGATTGATTGTTAATTTCATTGTTCTCTACCTTTGACATGCAAATTTTTTGTAATTCACTCTAGTATAATCCAGTTGTTTATTCAGCTTCTAGATAGTTTCTAAGACCTATAAGCTAAAACCGATATTCCACGCGCACCAGTTAAATCACCTAGTCTTATTTCAACCGCTTTGATGAATACCTTCTATACAGCAGCAGTTTTGAAGTAAATACTGGGAATGTGAACCTTTTCTGGTCTTATATCTTGATTGAATAGATGATAGATTTCTTCCAATTTTTCCATTTTTTACACCTTTCAATTTACCAATGTTCCACATTTTTGCATACAATATACGGCATCTCAATTTTAACAGCGATGAGCTGAAAATTACTATTGTATTCGTAGACTTCCCAATAAGGTAATTAAAGTGTAATGATTAAAGTATACTATGAAATCTTTAGAAAATCGTTAGATAAAACATTAGAATTTAAAAAAAAAAACGCAAAAAATTAAAAAAAAAACTTCACATTATACGTCTTTTCATTAACTTTAATAGTTGAAAAGGTACACCAAAACTTGGATTATAAGAGGATAGGATAATAGTGTGTTGGGAACATCAGTATAACCAGATATTCATCACAATAATCATTTGAAGTATCAAAAGTCATTTATTTAGGCTCATCTCAGACCAAGAAAACATCACATCGCGTCTTTCCATAATAAAGTCGCGAGAAATATTTGATAACAGACACAAGTGGTAAATAAATAAATCATTATTATTAAGCAATACAAGCCTAGTGGTAAATGCAAATATAAAAGTACTCATTTTATCCATTTAAAAACAAAAACAACAACACAATATGGCAAAAAAGTTAACTGAAGGTAGAAAACCAGGGAGTGGTAGGAAAAAAGGTACTGCAAAGACTTTAGCAGAAGGTAGAAAAGTTGGTAGTGGTCGTAAGAAAGGATCTGGTGGTAAAGCTATTGGTAAAACTCTGGCTGATGGTCGTAAAGCTGGTAGTGGTCGTAAGAAGGGTAGCAAAAGTACTTCAAAAATTGATGATATTAATGCCAAAACTCCTGAAGACTCAAGCCTTATAAGTGCAGTTGATGCTACAAATCCAAATTCAATATCACCAACTAATAATCAACAACTATTGAATAGTCATGATTATATTGTTCAACAAACGTATAATCAAAATCAAAGTTATGAAAAACAAATCTCACAACTCACGCAATTGAATCAAATGCATTATATTGCTAATCATGATCCTCATCAACAACAATCACATCAACATATTCAACCTTCACAATATCCAACATTAGGGCATTTTGCACCACCAAATCAACAACAAACACATCAAAGTCAGCAGATTCCACATTTACAACAAATGCAACATCATCAACATCACATTCATCCTCAACATTCAAATTCACAATCTCCACAATCTACAAACCAAATACTTAATCAACAACATTTAAATCAATCACCAAAATATAATGATATAAAATTGATTATGAATGATTTGAACGGTAAAGGAACGATAGAGAATACAATTTTGCCTTTTAATAGAAGCCGACAATGATTTGCCATACGTTTTTAAACATTACCTTTCTTTAGAACCTTTTTACACTACTGTGTTTTTATTTGTTTGTATTACTCATTGGTAATCACTTAATTAATTATTTGTTTATATATATATAGGAGATGTATTATATGCTAGTTCGTTTTGATATTTCTATCTTATAACTTATAATTTGCTCAGATTTGTATCAAATAATCGACTATATACGACATTAGCTGTACTTTATAACTTCGAAAAATCGGGTATAGTCAAATCTGGAATTAAATGCGCATGTATACTGTATAGCTGGTGTGTGCGAAATTGAAAATTAATGGTAAAAAAATAAGACCGTCAATTTAGTTTTACATTAATCGTGCCTAAAATTAATGAAACAGATGAAACAAACCAAACTTGATATGCTGATCTTCAAATTTTAATGTTGCTTTCCAATTATCAACTAAAGCATACTTCTATCCCTTCAATTTTTATCAACCTTACTAAATGACTTGTACCGATCAATATTTATCAATTATTTTATAGATGACTAATATTTCAAACCGCTTAAGTATAAATTATCGCAAATTGCAACAACGCAACAAACAAGATTATCCCTATGATTCATTACAAAGCAATATTATTATTTCGACCAATATGAGTCAAATTGGTGGTTGTGCTTAGTGAATATTTATGATTTGTAATACGTGCAATTTTGACTTCGGTTTTTTGACAATGAATAAATCCTAAATCAAAAAGTCAAGTAGATGTTATAAATTTCAATGAAATGGGATAACTGATACAGTACAGTGTACCCCCTCTCATAAAGTGAATGTCATTGGCCCATTTCCGCTTCGTGTCGCTGTAATGCGGGAATCAGATTACCAACTTGGGCAATAATTAAGATAGGGCTCAGGACTCAGGACTGCTTTAATTTTGTGAAATACCGTTATATTTGTGTTATTTGAGTCACATGCAGTGTGCACTGCAAAAGGCATGAGGTTTAAAGTTTGGATTCTTATGAATATTAATAATTATATATATATTGACATGATCCTGACATATTGCTGATTTATTGATAATAATGTTATAAACATCAGCAAATTGTTCAATAACAACAATATCAAATAATACCCATGTCCTCCACGCATTCCACTAGTGATCCGCCTTCCATTGAGTCAGGAACACAATTGATGACATTGGATTTACCAACCTCTTCAACAATCAAAAAGTATAAAATGGAAATACAAATGGATCAACCTTTAGACTCTGAATCATACTCATCAAGTGGTATTTCACATTCATATAGACCTGGTGATTCTGTAAACGGTGAAGTACTGGTTGTCCCACCATTTGATGCAACTCCAAAAGATTCAATCAAATTCAATGAAATTTCAATCTCTCTACAATGCAAAATAATTAATGATGTCGGTGGTAAGACAAAGACATTGTTCACTATGAATGATGATATTCATGATATTTCAGGACCTTTTGAAAAGAAAATGAGATTTCCATTCCATTTTGAACTACCCACAGAATTGTTTGATAATACTTGTCCACACAATATTGACTTTCATAAACAGTTACCACCTTCATTTGCCTCCCCAAGATTATGCTCACTAGTGTTTTCAGGTACAGATAATTTTGGTGTTAATCCCACAGAATGCCCTCAATATCCTTCTTATAAAGATCTCCCTTTAAATAAATTCTGTGTTGTTTACTATATCACTGCTACAATCAATCAAAAGACACATAGGAACACAGATGTTCATGTAATAATGAAGAGAATGCTAAATATTTCAGTTCAAAATTTCTTTACACCAGTTCCAACAAACCTCAATGAATCATCATTAGATATTGCAAATTATTATTCAATGACTGATTTTGCACCTAATAATGAGCTACTCAAAGTTCAAAGAACCTCACTGAGAAAAAATGGAGAAATAATTGGTACTCTGACAACCTTAATGGAATTACCAGCTCCAATTAGCATATCAACTCAAAATGAAACCTCAAAAGCACAAATAAGTATCAAATTTGAAGCAAAAGATCCTTCTATTTTACCACAGTTCAAATACCATGCTGAGTTAACACAGTTCATTATTCAATCATCTGGTTGTGTCCAACCTACAGCAAGCCCAATATTCAAGGATTTGTCTGTTGAATCAATAGGAGACCACAAAAAGGTCACCATCAGAGGTAAGACTTTAAGATTTGAAGTTACAGAAGCTGAATGGAGACCTGGATATCACAGCGATGGATCACTGATAAAAGATATATACGTTGAGATTCCTCATTTAGCACAACAAAAATTGGAACCGACGTTTCATTCATGTACTTTACAAAATATTTACATATTGGATGTTGATATTATACATGATCAAGTAAATGGGGATAAGAATAAAAGCTATTATACTCAAAAGACAAGTCTTAAGGATGCAATTTTGGGTAAACTGGGGGTTGGTGTTTCAAAAAATACTTGCGTTTTAATTCATAAATATATCCAACAACATGGTGGTCTTTCTATCAAAATTCCCATAACATTACTTTGTTAAGTCTGTTTGATTTTGTATCTTTTTTAATTTAGTTTTGATTACAATATTATATAAACTTATATCATAGAAATGTAGAATATCTGAATAGAAGCTTTTTTTACTTCTTATCAACTATACTTTTTCGTTATTGTTGAAAGTTATACATTTGTAAAACTCCATTTGTAATTGTTATATCTTAGTGCTTTACCCGAAAACTTGCATACATCATTTTTACGAGATATGATTGGTAATATATTAGTAATCAATTTAGCCTAAAGTCAATAAATTGATTTTAATACGCCAAACTTGAATTTAATTCTCCCAATTACAAGTACTATATAATTAGCTGGTGATAATTCAATATATTATAGCTTAATAATTGACAATTTCCAAAAAAAAAATTTAGTTTTTTTGGATTTCAAAATAAATTGTACCAAGTAAATTTTATATTTGATTTTAAAATTCATAAAAAAATTTCTCTAAAAATTTTATGCTAAAAAACCAGCATTATGGACTTGGAATGCTTTTTTAAATTATTCGAAGCTTAAAATTACTCTAATATTTGCTTTTAATTACACTGTTTTAATCATTAATTTAGAGAATTTAAAGGTCGGAATATTACATAATCCATTCATTTCTGCTCGGAAATCGGTCCTCTTTGAATTATCGCCATCGTTAGTTCTGTAATCTTCCAAAAGTCTCTGATAATTAAAAGAGGCGAATCCACCTATAACATTCGGTAAAACCCAATTGATTTCAATACTCTATAGAAGTAAGGGAAGTAATCATTTTGGAGAATTATTAGAGTTTTAGAAAATGTCCGAAACAAATGAGATCACTGTTAATATCAAGTGAGTATTAACTTAACTATTCGTTATTAACACTAAATCAAATGCTAACAATCATGTTAAATATAGATCTTCAGTTGATAAAAAATATGAATTCACAATTCCTGTATCATTAACTGTTGCTGAATTGAAAGAAAAAATTGCTGCAGAATCAGAAGTCCCTGCTGATAGACAACGTTTAATTTATTCAGGTCGTGTCTTAAAAGATCAAGATGCTATAGAAGTTTATAAAATCAAAACTGGTCATACTATCCATTTAGTTAAAAGTGCAGGTGCTAGACAATCAACTCCTAACACTACAAGTAGTGCTACACCATCAACAACAGCAAATGCAGGATCAAATGACACTACTACCAATTCATCTGCTCAATCTGTACCTTCAAATATTGCATCTGGTCAAGGTGCTTTCAATCCTTTAGCTGGGTTAACAGGTGCTCGTTATGCAGGCCTAGCTCAACTACCTTCAGAGTCATTATTTGGACCAGATGGTGGTATGGGTGCCTTACCTAATGAAGACGAGATGGAAAGAATGATGGAAAATCCAATGTTTCAATCAAGCATGAATGAATTATTAAGAAATCCTCAGATGTTAGATTATATGATTGAATCAAATCCACAATTACGTAGTATGGGTCCTCAAGTTCGTCAAATGATGCAAAGTGATCAATTTAGACAAATGATATCAAATCCTCAAATGATGAGACAAATGAGAGAAATGCAAAGAATGTTTGGTGGTGGTCCACAACAACCAGCTAGTTTCCCAGCACCAGGTGAAAACCCAACTACAGAATCATCAGAAACTAATAGAGAATCAAATACTGGTAACACTACTAATTCCAATCCAGCAGCTAATCCGTTTGCTGCTTTATTTCCAGGTGGTGCACCACCAGCTAATCCATTTGCATTATTTGGTAACCAAGGTGCTGGTGGCGCCGGTGGACAAAATGCTGGTGGAGCTGCAGCTTTTGATCCAACTCTATTACAATCCATACTTGGCGGTGGTGCTGGTGGTTTTGGTGGTAATGCTTTTGGAGGTGCCCCACAACAGGAAGATACCAGACCTCCAGAAGAAAGATATGAATCTCAATTGAGACAATTGAATGATATGGGATTCAGCGATTTCGATAGTAATGTTCGTGCATTAAGAAGAAGTGGTGGTAGTGTTCAAGGAGCTGTTGAGAACTTACTTTCAGGTATCTAGATCTGATAGTAAAAATAATAAATTTGTTCCTATTTGTATAATTTTGATATTTAGCTTAATGACCTTTTGATTATTTGTTTTACGTGTAGAATTGAATTTATTGTTTTGGTTGTTGCACTTACCGAAAGTGTTGATAATTTCGACTTAAGAAAATCTCGAGTTTTCGGTTACTACAATTTGTTTAAGCTTCAAAACAAACGAATTATACAACAATTTTGATCAAACAACCAAATTTCATGTCTTCAGCGCAAGAAAAGGAGACCGGTGTACCAGCTCCAGCTCCAAAGGTAGAGAGTGAAACAACACAAAAAATTGATATCAAATCATTACGAGAAATACCCACGAAAATAAGGCAGGATGAATTAGATCCCATGGAACTTCTAACACAACGAGCCATCGCGTTACATCTCAAGTCATTAGATATAAATTTCACAAAGAGCGCACTAGATGACTTATTTGATCTTGTGACTCAGTACATTGATGGTTTGCTACATGGGTTACAAAAAATAACACAAACACAAAGAAGATTCAAAGCTTCACCAAAAGATCTGAGGTTACTCTTAAGAGACTATAACATAAGCACAGGTGAATTAGAGGATGAACTAATACGCTCTAAGAAATCAGACAACAAAGTAGTGGGTGAGAGAAAAGGATTGGAAGATTTGGCTAAAAGAGCAAGACCTGAACATGAAGAAGTGGTGGAAGACATTGATATTCAAGATCCTTCATTTGTTTTCTTTGCAATTGACCAAGATTTAACAAAATTAATACCGGCACAACACAAGAGAAATGAGATAATTCCAGAATGGCTACCGGATTTTCCACCAGACCATACCTATAGAAAGTCTCCTAAATATCTGGATAGAATATCAGACCAAAAATTGGTTAGACAAAAGTTAGTTGAAGAGAGTAAATTTGGTGAAAATGCTATAGAAAATTTGTTGAAACACAATAAAAAGAGTGACAGAGTGGAAGATATTGACATCGAGGAGTCAGAAGAAGATAAAACGGAGGAAATTAAAGAAGAGAAACCATTGGAAGAAAACGGAGAGGGTAAAGTCGATATATGGAGTGCTAATGAAAAGAAGTTTGATATAATTGCATATACGTCTGCCAGACTAAAATTTTATGAAACAAAGAAAGCTGAAAGGGAAAAGAAGTTAAAGAAAGTTGATAGTGAATATTTTGAAATTGTGGATAAACTCTCTGCATATGGACAGGATGAAAATAATGAAAACGTTTCACCGGAAATTTATTTAGAGAAAGAGTTCAAAAAAACACTTTTTTCACTACAAAACTTGAAGAAAAAGAAAGCTAAGAGACAAATTGAGAGGCAGCAACTACAAGAAGAAGAAGATAAAAGAAGAGATGAACTCAAAGCCCAAAAAGCTGCTGATGTTAACGATTTTGATAATTTTGATAATTTCGAGAATTTCGATAATTTTGAGAACTTCGAAGCAACTGACATTGGCGGTGATCCAGCTATAACATTTGAAGGGGCAAATGAAGAGCCAAAAGATGAAGCCATGCAAGAAGATCTCATAATAGAACAGACAGGTAACAATACTCAAGAAACAAATGTTGAACAACCCGAACCAACAACTTCGCAGATTCTAAAGTCAACACCAGAAACTAGCGATAGACAATCAGAAGGTGAGTCACATAATCAAGAAAATTCAATTGAACCTAATGGTAACTCTATAGATATGAGCAGTGAACAACCAAACGGAAAAGATCCGATTCTGAGTGAAAACAATCAAGAGGATTCAAGTAACATTAACACAAGTCAACTTCCAAGTACTGCGCCTGTTCCTGAAGATGATGATGACGAAGATGAAGATGAAGACATGTTTGATGATGTGCCAATTTGATAAATCTATTAGCTTAATGAATGCCCATGAAATGATATAATATTGTAGATCTCTATGAAATTCTCGATAAAAGCTTTTAATTTACTTTTAGCCCCTGTATATATCATGAACACCCAAACACCACTCGGAGCAATTTTTATATGGACTTTTGCGTTACTGTAGTTATTACCAAAATAAATAAACTACCCAGTATCAAAACAAAACGAAGGACATAGAGAAGTACTCAATTGGTAATACATTAGTTCAATTTTATTCCTAAGAAAAAATAGTGAAAATGAGTGAGGCTACAGCATTGAAGTTGCCAGAGTCGACCCCTTTCCCTATCAATGTTTTTTCCGTTCTTATTAGAAAGGGCGAAACAGTTTCAAAACATCAACAGGTAATACGGTATACATATTGGGAGTTTCAGGACGCTCCAGAAGCTGCATCAGATTATGACGAAGACAATAAAAGTTATATCTCCAAAAATAAAGTCAGAGTAGACTTGGTAGGATCTTATGAATCACCAATTGATGGTGTTGTTGAAGAAGTTCTTATCAGAAATGGTGATGAAGTTATATCCCAAGATCAAGAAATTGCCAAAATCATTGAACCTTGCACACATTCCATACAGTATGGTGGTCTATGCGCTTTATGTGGTAAATCATTAGATGAAGAAACTGATTATTCAGGCTTCAAATATGAAGACCGTGCTCCAATTTCAATGTCTCATGGAACAAGTGATTTAAAGATCTCTAAGAGCGAGGCTCAAAAAGTTGAACAACTGATGACAAAAAATTTGATCAAAGAGAATAAATTGATTCTAGTTGTTGATTTAGATCAGACTGTCATTCATGCCACAGTGGATCCTACAATTGGTGAATGGATGAATGACCAAAGTAATCCAAATTTTCCGTCTCTAAAAGATGTTCAATATTTTTCATTAGAAGAGGAACCAATATTACCACCAGGATATCAAGGACCGAGACCCCCAACTCACAAAAGATGGTATTATGTTAAGATGAGACCTGGCTTAGAAGATTTTTTGAAGAGAATTGCCAAAATTTATGAGCTACATATATACACTATGGGTACGAAGGAATATGCCAGATCTATTGCCAAAATCATAGATCCCGATGGTGAATACTTTGGTGAAAGAATCTTATCAAGAGATGAAAGTGGATCTTTAACTCAAAAATCATTAGAAAGATTGTTTCCGACTGATACTTCAATGGTCGTTATCATCGATGATCGAGGTGACGTTTGGAACTGGAGCGATCATTTAATCAAAGTCGTTCCTTTTGACTTCTTTGTTGGTATCGGTGATATAAATTCGAACTTTTTACCAAAACAAAAATCTTTATTAGGTCCAACAAAAGGGCATGGTTCAATTGAGAAGCTTGAGGAACAGCTGATTGAAGAATTACAGGGATCAGAAAATTCCAAAGAGTCACAAAACTTGGAACGCAAGATCGAAGAGATTAAAGAAGACCAGCAAATCAAACAAAAAGCTGAAGATAATAAAGATTTGGAGCTTTCTGAAGAACAGACAGCAGAATTAGCGGCTGCTCGCTCTTCTGAAAGAGAAGCTTCACTTGAACAACAAAAGTCTGAAAGACCCATGGAAAAGCTACAGAAGAATCTGGATAAACTTTCAGAAGCTAAAAATAAGCATGGGATTGATAGATTGTTATATGATGACGATGATGAATTGGTTGGTCTAGAAAAAGCATTGAATGAGATTCATGAAACATTTTACTCAATACTCAAAAAAAACCAAACGCACCCAGATGTCAAAGAAATATTACCACAGAAAAAGCACGAAGTGTTCGGAGGTTTCAATTTTGTGTTCTCAGGGCTATTCCCAATAGGTGGAAACATCAATAACGAACATATTGTGATTTGGGTGAAGTCATTTGGCGCTTCAGTCAGCACTGATATCACAATGGAAACCACACATGTTATTACAAAAAGCCCCCATACATACAAAGCTAGACTTGCTAAAACAATGATACCCAATGTAAAGGTGGTCCATCCAAATTGGTTGTTTGACAGTATGTCAAATTGGAGACCAGCAGATGACATACCTTTCGAAATTAAAATACCCAAGGAAAGATATTTACCAGAAAAAGAAGTTGAGAAATACCAAGAAAAGCTTAAAAATTCAGAGGAAAAATTAAATGATATTGAAAACAATATTGAAAATGATAATTTGTTAGGTGGTAACATGAATTGGTTGGATATTGACGACGAAGTTGAAGAATTCTTGAACTCAGATAGTGATGAGGAAGAAGACGATATCGAAGGTAAAAATTCTAATAAACGTGGTATTGATGGAGATTCAAATGCTGATGAATATAAAAGAAGAAAACTGGACTCAGAAGAAAATGATGAAAGTGATGATGATGACGATTTTGCAGCCGAATTGATGCTGGAGCTTGACGGAGATGACGAATAATTTTATAAATATATATCAAGTTCTGATCATATTTTATGAGCTATAGATCTTTACTAGTAGAACAAGACTAACCTTACTAATTTGTTTATATAGTATCTGATATTTCATATCAAATTCGTATCTATATACTGCCCTTACCGATAACAATTGCATCTCGAAAGCAAAACTAGTATACGATTTACTGATTTGAACTTGTTTACAATTCAAAGAAGAACCCATACAGGTCTCAAGGCAATTTAAAGTCTCTCAAAAATGTCCTACAAAATCACCACTGATGAGCTAGTCGAGCAATGGCTCAGAATTGATATTGTGAGTCGTTTCAGAACCAACAGTTTTTAAATCGTTATCTAACATTGCCTAAAAGAATCCACAAACTAGACAGGAAATTATAGAACTTCAACTAATTGGGGACGAGCAAGGATTGAATGATAGATTACGTGACCGCATAGCTTTCGGAACAGCTGGTCTACGTGCTAAAATGGAAGCGGGTTTCAACAGATTGAACGATGTCACAATTTTACAAGCTTCACAAGGGTTAGCTAGTTATATTACTTCCCTGAATACAAAGACTCAACAATCAGTCGTTATTGGTCATGATCATAGGTTGAACTCAAAAAGGTTTGCTGATATTACAGCCACTGCGTTTCTACTAAAAGGGTTCAAAGTTTATTATTTGGAATCATTTATAGAGGGAAAGGGAAGTGATATCGTACCAACTCCTTTAGTTCCGTTTGCAGTTGACTATTTCAAATCAGATTGTGGTATTATGATAACAGCAAGTCACAATCCAGCCCAGGATAACGGATACAAAGTATACTGGAATAATGGATGTCAAATAATACCACCATATGATCAATCAATTGCCGAATCAATTCTTCAAAACTTGAGACCAGCAGATAATGCATGGGATATTGATAATGTTTTCAAAATTTCTAAAGAAAACAAAAGTCTATTATTTTCTAAAGAAGAAATACTTACAGCATATTTATTGCATATAAATGCTAACCTTTTGAAGACAAAAGTCCCAGATGTGAAATTCATTTATACACCAATGCATGGTGTTGGATTAGAAGTTTTCAGCAAAGTCATTAGTATGCTAGGTACTAACTCTTTGCTTACTGTGGGAGAGCAAGCACAACCTGATCCATATTTTCCAACAGTTAAATTCCCAAATCCTGAAGAAAAGGGCGCTCTAGATCTTGCCATGAAGAAAGCTGATGAGCAAGGTATTGATCTTGTTTTAGCAAATGACCCTGATGCAGATAGATTTTCAGCTGCAGTCAAAACTAATGGAAAATGGAGACAATTGACAGGTAATGAGATTGGATTTTTATTTGCAGATTATATTTATAACACATATGAGGGTGAATTATCCAAGGTTTATTTTATAAATTCTACTGTTTCCTCTCAAATGATCGCTTCAATGTGCCTTAAACGTGGGCTGAATTATGCAGATACTTTGACTGGATTTAAATGGATTGGGAACAAAGCCATAGATTTAGAGAAACAAGGATATAAGGTTCCATTTGGATATGAAGAAGCTATTGGCTTTATGTTCAATGGTATCCATGATAAAGATGGTATAGCTGCAGCTGTCGTTTTCTTGCAAATGGTCCAATTCTGGAAAGAAAATAACACATCTGCTATTGAAGTATTAGAAAAAGGATTCGAAAACTTTGGATATTTCAAAGAATACAATTCTTATTACATTGTTCCACAATTACCGCTCACCAAAATAATTTTTGATACTATTCGTCATGAAAAAAAGGTCGGATCTGCTAGCTTCCCAGATCACCTAGGTCAGTATTCGATAACATATTGGAGGGATTTAACTATAGGATTTGAATCAGATACTATCAACAATGTCCCTTTATTACCAATTGATTCTTCTTCACAAATGATCACCGCAAAGCTTCTGACTGATAATAATACCGAGTACATTAGATTCACAATGAGAGGATCAGGAACTGAACCAAAATTGAAAATTTACATCGAAGCTAGAGCTGATACAGAGGACCGCGCTACATTTTTAGCGAAAGATGTTTGGGATACTTTGCGTAAAGAGTGGTTCAAACCAGATGAGACTGGATTGCAAGAAGCTTGAACAAGTTTCTCCAGTGACTTCCACAATCGTATATATGATATATAGATACTTAATCATGAAAACTGCCTGTATTTGTTCACTTATAGACCACTTTTGTCCTGCAGTAACATTTGCGTATCACCAATTGATTGATATATAATATCAGAATCCCGATTAAAGATCAACGGTATATTTTTTTTTTTGGTCGCGGCCTTTCTGGTGTGCTGGAAAAAACAACGGTAAACATGTCAACTTTGAAGAGGACCAAAAACAGCAGACAGCTAGACATACTCAATCATTCCACTTGATCCCATTCAAAGCGTACAACAGCGCGCTAATTGAACATGTTTAGAGGGATCAGAGACACACAAGGGAAAAAGAGTGACTTGCCAATGTAAGTGGATTGTCTTCAATGCTCTTGATTATTATTGTTTTTGACGTGTTTAGATCTAACATTTTCCTATAGAACGTCGTCCAATTTCAAGCCTAAAGCCCAGTCAGTACCACGTCGTCAAATATTGAAGTATGCATGCTACATAATAGGGGCATTTTTATTCATATACCTGCTATCAAGTAAAGGGAATATAAGTATTAAATATTCCGATGAGGAAAATTTCACATACAGATTCAAGAATATAGATTATGAGAAGTTGAAGAAGTATGATGATGGTGTCGAACAGTTCTTGGTTGACAAGGATGGTGTCAAGCTTCAAGGCTCTACTGAAAGAGTTATTCAAAAAGATATAGATGAATTGTACCACAGTACTGTCGATTATTATGATTTAAGTGATGCAGAGGGCTCAAGTAATGGTGCTATAGATGGTGATTACATTTTATTATTGATCCCATTGAGAAACGCTGAGCCAGTACTACCACTCATGTTTAAACATATAATGAACTTGACATATCCTCACTCACTTATTGATATTGCATTCTTGGTTAGTGATTGTTCAAAAGATGATCGTACATTAGAATCATTATTTGATCTTTCAGTCGCTCTACAGAATGGTAATTTATCAGATTTATTGAAAGCCCAAGAATCAATCAAGGGAGACTTGAGTGGTACCAGTGATCTTCATCTTGGTTACATGGATCCAGATTACATAGAAAAAGTTGATAAGGCATTTAATCCACCATTTCACAAAGATTATAATGAACCTTTTAATAGTGTTCAAATTTTTAAAAAAGATTTTGGTCAAATTATTGGTCAGGGATTTACTGATAGACATGATGTTAAAGTTCAAGGTATTAGACGTAAATTAATGGGTAAAGCTAGAAATTGGTTAACCTCAAATGCTTTAAAACCTTACCATTCATGGGTGTATTGGAGAGATGCTGATATTGAACTGATGCCAGGTTCAATTATTCAAGATTTGATGAAGTTCAATTACGATGTTATTGTGCCAAATGTTTGGAGACCTTTACCTGAATTTTTGGGTAATGAACAAGCTTATGATTTAAATTCTTGGATTGAATCAGACCAAGGTTTAGAATTAGCTAGAAACTTACAAGAAGATGATGTTATTGTTGAAGGGTATGCTGAATATCCAACTTGGAGAGTTCATTTAGGTTACATCAGAAATCCAAATGGTGATCCAAATGAAATTGTTGATATGGATGGTGTTGGTGGTGTTTCAATTCTTGCAAAAGCTAAAGTGTTTAGAAGAGGTGTTCACTTCCCTGCATTTACATTCCAAAATCATGCTGAAACAGAAGCTTTTGGTAAAATGGCTAAAACCATGGGATTCCGTGTTGGTGGGTTACCACACTATACAGTTTGGCATATTTACGAACCAAGTGAAGATGATTTACAAGAAATTGCACGTAAAGAACGTAAGAAGAGACGCCAAAATGAAGGGAAAGAGGATTTATCTGAACAGACAAAGAAGAAGTTGCAACAGAAGGAGTAGAATTTAGAAATTATGTATAGATTATATACAACTCAGCATTATGTTAGTTTATACCAATATTCAACAATTGTAGCACATGCGAAAAGTTGTCAGTGATGGTATTGGTACTACATATTATTCTAAATGACAAAAGTTCTATTATTTCGTTGATCATAAAAACAAATTATCAAAAATCTAAACAGTAAAGACTAAAAATTATAAAACAAGCGGTGAAAAACAATGAGTAACAAAATAAACGAACATGAAGAAATGTAATAATGAAAATGCAGGGTATCCCATAACTTTATGAGTTAAATCATAACAAAAACATTGAAATCAATGCAACGAAAAGGGTATAGCTTTGTAAATTCTCAGCACCAATTATAACAGCACCACCTTTATGAGATGTAGTAGAAGCAGATGATGAATTTGAAACCAGTGAAGTTGAAATTGAAGATCCATTATTGGCAACTGAATTTGAAGTAGTATCATTTGAAGTTAGTTTAACGTTAGTATTTTTTTCTGCAAAACCAACTCTTTGTTGGTCAACATCAAAAACAGCATAAACTGATTGTAAGAAAGTTGCACCTAAAATCCATGAATCAGCAGCGGCAGTATCGATACCTTGAATGTTTGATACACAATAACCATCCAATTCAGTTGAATTATGGTATTCCTCTCCTAAGTAGTATTCTGGTCCTAAAGTCCAATTTTGACCGTTAATCTTCAGCACTAAATCAACTGTTGAGTTACACAGAACAGCAAAATTTGAACCGTCTGTTATGGAATCATCAAAATAGCTATGAATGTCAAGGGCATCTTGCTTTGGTAAGGCTAAGACAGTGGTACCACTATCAACTAATGCTTTTCTTGCAGTAGTGGTGTTATCATCACCATTTTTCAAATCGACTGACTGATTGAATGTGATTTCATATTGATCTAAGGAAACAGATTCAACTGGGATTAGCCAATAATGACTATCATTATCTATCAGATCTGTATAGTGAATGTCACCTTCATATAATTCTTCTAAAGGTTCACCAATTGCGAAAATACCAGAGTTTGGATGCTCTTCAGTATTTGAAAAATTACCTAAACTAATAGAAAAAATTTCTTTTGCAATAGCATGTGAATCATATAAAGCTGAGATGATACTTTGGATAGCAGACGAATCATTTGACGGTAATCCAAATATACCAGATACTGGATATTTTTTGAAAAAATCTGGAACTTTGTCAGCTTTACCAAATTTAAATTTTTGAGTTGTAGCTAATTTATTAACAATGATGTTATCTTCAACAACTTCACCTTGAGCTGTACCAGTGACATATGATAATGCAAATGTTGATGTTGCAGATGATGATTCAGAAGATTCAGAGGAAGAATATTTTTCTTCATCTTTACAAGCTTCATCCGTACAATTGTCACCATAAACCCATAAGTAAGCTGAACCGGTATCTATAATCAACGGATATTCTGTATTTCCGATTGTAGTATTGACAAAATAGCATTCTTTCAAATCATCCGTGTGCAGTGTGGTAATACCTGGTGATAGATTTAAAGTCTTGGGATTGGATGAAGATGTATTCTGAAATTTTGAAGTTGGAGAGTTTGGTGCTTTAGCAATACCAATTTTATTTGAAGATGGGGATGATTCTAATTTTTGAATATATGTTTTGTATGCTTTTGGAACTTCTTGAAGCTCATTAACTTTATATAATTTTGAAGATTTGAAGTCTTCAGTATCATGAGGAAGTAATGCTAATGCTGTAGATGCAAATATGAATGTTGAAAGATGTGAAAACAACATTATTTTGTATGTGTATAAGCTAATATGAATAATGATGCACAAAGTTGATATTGAACCAGAAAAAAAAATATTGAACTTCAAACCTATGGATATTAAGGATCTTAAATAAGTATGAAGGTGAAGAAAAGATTGAAATCAAAGGTTTAAATGTCCTGTGCCGAAATATCAATGATAACCAAGCGTGTTGATAACTTGAAGATGAAGAATGTTTTCACCACGACTCTATGGAATGTAACAGTAGGAATGTTGGATCTGGTAGGCAATAGATTATACTCAATATGGAGATGTGAACAATGAACCAAGATGGCGAGCTGGTGTCTTTTAAAATATCTGATGCAAGAGCGTGTTTTGGAGCTGGTTTGATGAAAGAGTTTTGAACGTGTGAACAATCTTGATTTATAAAAATAACTTTATGCGTTATGTGTTATGTGCTGAATTCTTTTTTAGGCTGCAGGTCTTCGAGATCGATAAATTAATGCCTAACGTTTCCTCGAAAATAAAGAAGCAAAATATCCGAAGGAGAAGCACCAAATCTTGCTCTATACCGTGTTCACTGTCTATATTGTAAAGCATTAACAGATTCCAAGGGTTATTGATTTGAAGAATCGAGATCCCAATCAACAGAAATATTTTTTCACTTGTCTGATATCTGATTGTTGTCTCTTTTCGTAAATTTCCAACCTTGTAACCAGGTTGTTTACATTTCGCTGCGCGTACCGCGTCCAATTACTATTCCATTTTAGGAAAATCTGTTTGCTCTATTAAAACTGTATGCCTTTATGTAACTAAAACTAAAACTAATGAATAAATATATTATAATATGACTATTAATATGATGACGTGTTGAATTAAACAGCATTATCCGAGAGCTGTTTTTCATTGGTATCTTTACCTGTGTTCAATTCTGAATTATATGAGTTTTCATATTCTTTATCCTCTGGAATATGATGAGGCCATAGATGTGAAGATATAACTAGCACAATACCAAGTAATATGGCCACAGAAGCCAAACCAATACCAACATACATAGCAGCTCTATAACTTTGTAACAAATCTCCAGTTCTCTCTTTGATTTTAGCCTCTGCAGTACCCGCAATACCTAGACCAACTGACATGGAATAATTAATCATTGTGGAGACTAATGAACTTGCCATACCTTGATGCTTTTTAGGCAAAGTATCTGATAGCACAAGTGATGCTGCTGGGAATGACATATCCATACCAAAACTTAAGACAATCATTTGTGCAAATAACATATTGAAGTATGTTTGATGAACAGGTGTAGTTGCCAACATTGCAATACCAACAAAGAAAGCACCCATTGCAGCTAGAAGTAAATATGAAGGATTAACTTTTCTGATCAATAATGAAACAACGACACAAGCTGTAATACCCCAGAATAAAAAGTTACCATAAGTGGCACAAGCTAATAATGGTGTATAATGATTTAAATTCATTAAGAATGCCCAATAATAAAAAGTCCAAATAGAGAAACTACTCCATCCGAATGCAATGACTAACAAAATCAACAATAAGTGTGAATTCATAACTTCAGTTGGTAAAATTGGTGACTCTGCAACACTATTTTCAACATAAAAGAATGCACCTAAAGAAATCAAACCTGCAATCAATAGCACAATAATATAAGGACTATCCCAGCCAGCTGCCGGGGCTTGATTCCATGCAAAATTGAACATAATAAGACCAGAAACACCGGTGATTGCACCCCACCAATCCATTTTAGATGATGTATGGTGTGGTTCAATATGTGGAATAACAAAATAAGTTGCAATGCCCATTAAGAACAAAACTATAGCGTTTGAATAAAAATTCCATTCCCACTGGCCAAATTGTGAGGTCAAAGCACCAAAAACTGAACCTAAAGTAGCACCAGTTGGAGCTGCAGCTGCAATTAATGAAAACACAATAGCTTTTCTTTGGCCGTTTGGATATAAATTACCTGCAATACCTATAGCATTTGGTAAGATCAATGCAAGACCAATCCCTTGCATAGCACGACAAATACAGAAAAAAATAACTGAATGTGAATAACTTGAAATACCAACTAATAAAGTCCATATACAACCCCATGATATCCCCACTAGTAAAGTTTTCTTGAGACCGTATAAATCACCAAATTTACCAGAGATTAAAATAAATGCACCTGCAGTTAAAGGACAAGCCGCCATGAACCAAACTTTATCATTAGCAGTGACATTATTGAAAGAGTGTTCTAATATATTCATCATTGGTAATGTTTGACAGGTACCTGCTTGGTTCAAAAGTTGTGCCAACATAATTAAAAACACTATGGATGCTTCATGTAGCCAGTTTTTGAAGCATTCTGGACGTGGATCTATTGTAATCATCTTATATGACCTTGATTATATGTTATAGCTTCTATGCTTCTATGACTTTTTTCTTGAATATCACCAATATAAATTTTCAATATGGTGAAAAAACCTTCACACAGCACCTTTATCTTTTGAGAGCGCACTGATGGACTATCCCCTGTATAGTTTTTAGCTAACTAGTTAATGATGAAGATAATATCTTCTTTAAGTAGCTTAAGGGATAAAGAAATGAATGTCTGTGCAAAATTTGCAAGTCCACTTTAAGACTCTGTTGAAAGAAGTTATTATTACAGGATTTGATTATTCAATTTTAGTAAAACCGGAAATCTTTAAAGCCGCCGGATGAAAAAATTACTATATGCGGTGGTGTTATTTAGCCGGTATTTAGCCATAAAGTTTAGTGTATAACCGTTGGAAATATCGCATGTAAATCGACAGTATCTTTGTAATAATGCAGGTGGTTTGATTTAGTCTAATTTAAATGTGAAGTCTAATATTCGAATGTTTACTTAGACACACAACTAAACAGCACCATCATTGTAATTCTTAGCATCTATATTCACCTTCGATTTGAAATCATCAAAATGTTCATCTTCAGTTGTATCAATTGGCCAGATCTTAGAGGATACAACAAACACAACAGAGAATATGACGGATATGGCAGCTAATCCAATACCAACATATAAAGCAGCTCTATAAGCTTTCAGTAACTCACCAGTTTTGGTTTTTATTTCAACTTCAGCTGAACTAGCAATACCTAATGCTATTGACATTTCATAGTTTACCATTGTCGTAACGAGTGAACTGGACATCCCTTGGTGCTTTTTAGGTAATGAATCTGATAATATTATTAAAGCAGCAGGAAATGACATATCCACACCAAAGCTCAGAAGAATTATCTGGGGGAATAGCATCTTAAAATATGATTGATTAACAGGTGTGACTGATAACATAGTTAAACCAACAACGAAACAAATCATTGCAGCTAACAATAAGTATGATGGTTGGACTCTCTTTATTAATAATGAAACAACAAGACAAGCAATCACACCAAAAACTAGAAAAGTAACGTACGTTGTACCACTTATCAATGGATTGAAATGCTTCAAGTTCAAGATGAAAGACCAATAATAATAAGTCCATACAGAAAAACTTCCCCATCCTAAAGCTGTGATTGATAAAACCATAAGTAAATTAAAATTCATGATTTCATTTGGTAATAGTGGTGAAGAAGCAATCCATTTTTCAATATAAAAAAACACAGCTAATGAAATCAATCCAAGTATCAATATTACAATGATATATGGACTACTCCATCCTGCTTCTGGTGCTTGATTCCATGCAAAGCTGAGTAATATTAATCCACAGACACCTGTTATAGCTCCCCACCAATCCATATTTGGAGATTTATGTAAAGGTTCAACATAAGGTATAACAAAATGTGATATAACAGCCATTAAAAATAAGAGAATAGCAGTTGAGTAGAAACTCCATTGCCAGACTCCAAATTGCGCTGTTAAGCCTCCAAATAAAGTACCTAAGGCAGCTCCAATAGGTGCAAAAGCAGCAATGAGACAAAATACTATGGCTTTTCTTTGACCATTTGGATATAAATTACCAGCAATACCAATAGCATTTGATAAAATTAAAGCTAATCCTATACCTTGCATAGCACGACAAATACAAAAAAATATAACTGAATGAGTATAACTTGATAATCCAACTAGTAATGACCAAAGGGAACACCAACATATACCTATATTAAAGACTAATTTCAACCCATACAAGTCACCAAATTTACCAGATATTAAAATAAATGCACCTGAAGTTAAAGGATTTGAAGCCATGAACCATACTTTATCATTATCCGAAACGTTATTAAAAGATTTTTCTAAAAGATTCATCATTGGTAATGTTTGAAATGGGCTTGCTTGACTTATCAATTGTGCCATCATAATTATAGATATAATTGATACTTCATGTCGAAACCAATTCTTAACATTTGGGACGTGAATCAATTGTAATCATATTGTACCTTTATATAGCATAAGTAGTATAAGCACCTCCAGAAACCGTTACCGTATATCATCAGTTTTAAGAGCATTTTAGATCTTTAAGTATCAATTATATTTAAGAACTAAGGTGTATTATGGATCTAATCAGAGATAACAGACATTGTGTTCATCGTGTAGCAGGCTTATATTATACTCAAAAAGCCAGTAGAATATCATATTAGATTGAGAGCTTTGTCATATAAGAAACACTCCATGGTATACCTTATGTATATATTAAGCTTCTTATCATCATATATAATACTATAGCAGCTAGTCGATGTCGACAGTAGTTAGACGTGGTTTTCGCTTATGGTTTCATTAGGAACTTTTTGATTAGGTTCATATACAAAAAATTTGGCGATTCTATTTGGGGTATTAAATCCGATACATACAAATTTCTTCTATGAGACCATAGAAAATTATACTACAGTTAATTGTCCCATTAAAACAAATATATATCGTTAATATTGTATATTTTAAACCTTTTTTTCCGTTAAAAAATCAAAAACTTAATTGTTATATTTACTATTAAAACACATTTTATGATATAAAAACACATTTCCTAATTCTTTTTGTCTTTTTTAAATTATTATTTACACAAGGATTTCTTGTTTATAATGAAATAATCAAACTCATCTTCTTCTATAACCTCCTCTTCCATTATAACCTGGATGATAATAACCAGCATTATCATCTTCATATCCATAATCATCAGTTGTGTTTAAAACATTAGCTGCATATATCATATTAGCATGTTGTGATTGTGCTAAATATTGTGCCATAACTTGAGAACCTGAAGTTGTGAACCCATTTACATAATGTTGTTGTTGATGTTGGTTGTGTTGTAAATGTGGATGTTGTTGTCTTGGAGTACCAAAATTAGACAAATTTGTTCTTGATGAACCTCTTGATACATTACTAAATGAACGTTGTAGTCCTGATGGTGGTGGTGGTGGAGCAAATGGAACTTGTTTATAAACATAAGTTTCAGGTTCATAAGGATAATATCCTAATGAATTTAATGATGCACTTGATAAACGTGATGACATTGCTGGTGAATATGGTTCTCTTCTCTTTGGACGTCTTTGATTTTTCTTCCCACCATTTACTCTTGATGTATATTCTTCAGATGATGATCTTGATGGTGTATATGGATGTGGTTCAGGTTTAGAGACTATAATATCTAAAGCTTCAGATGATGAATCTGAATCATAAAATTCAGGATCTTTTGGAATATCAGTAGATGAAGTTGTAACTTGGTTGACATCTGATTCTTTTGATACATCTTCTTCATTTGTAGTTGAAGTAGTTGAGATTCCAAATGCATTTGAAGTATCAATTTGAGCTTCTTCAGTATTTTCTTCAACAACTTCATTTTTATCATTTGAAGTTGAAGTTATACCCATTGAATTCATGAAATCTTCAGATAATTTTTCAACTTGTTCTTCAGTTGATTTATCATTACCATTTTCCTTTTGTTGTTGTTGATTTTCATTATTTGATTTATTAATATTGTTATTATTATTTTTATTCTTCTTCTTTTTAGATTTTTTAGCTTTTGGTGGATTACCACATCTATCTTTACCAAAACTTATTTTCAAATTTCTATATTTATTATCAAAATATTCATGAAATTTTTCAGATGAAGATCCATTAGCATCATCAACAACTTTAATAGCATTTGCAATATTTAAAAAATTTAAAAATACACAACGATCATTTTTAAAAAAATTAATTTGTTCAATTTCACCAAATTTACTAAAATCTTCTCTTAAAATTTCTTCATTTGGTAATTTTAAACTTTCATCATCTAAATCTTCATCTTTAATACCAATATAAACATTTCTTGAAGCACCAACTGTAACAGCTAATGCAATAGAATTTGGTAAAGGACCAGAAGGATTACCCCAACCAATTTTTAATTTTCTTCCATGTAAAGTAACTCCATCAATATTTGCATTTGCATAAAATTGAGCAGCTGCAACAGGTTCAATAAATGTTAAAAAGCAAATTTTTTTATTTGGGAAATGTTTAATTTGTTGTAAAACACCACCTCTAACAACATTACAAATATCTTCAGGTTTAGTTTTTGGATCTAAATTACCTAAATGAACAGTTCTATTTCCTGCATTATTAACACCACCAGCATTAGTAGCAACTGCTCGTGCAGTTATATTTTTTTGATTTAATGCACTTGAAACATATTCATCATTAACAAATTGTTGAGGAATGAAAATATCATTATGTGAATATGTATGACTTAATCTTGGACGTTGTTGTTGTTGTTGTTGTTGTTGTTGTTGTTGATAATTTTCAAAGAAAACTTCATCTTCTTGTAATAATTCATCTTCATTTTCTTCAGAAATTTGACTTATGATTTCATCTTGTTCATCAGTTATTGATCTTAAAACAAGACTATTATTATTAATTGAACATCTATCAGTTCCATAAAAAATTTTAGTATTTGACCAAATTGGTGATAATGATAATTGTTCAACAGCTTTTATAGCTGATGAAATATTTGTAAAATGGATAAATGCAAATTGATCTTGATCTTTTGATTTTGATTCAATTTCATCTTTGTCATTTTCTTTATCGTTTTCTTCATCTTTATCAATTTTTGGAGTTTCATCAGTATCAGTAATTTCTTCATTTGAATTAAATTTTTTCGTTATTAAATCAATTTTATCAATTAGTCCAAAACTTGAAAATTCATTATATAAAAATTCTTCATTAATTTCTTTATTTAAAGATTTTAAATTACCAATATAAACATTTCTTGTTGCACCATCATTATTTATAGCATTTGAAATAAATGGTAATAATTTTTTAGTTGCTATGAAATTTATTGATAAATCTGGTGAATTTATTGATGATTTAAATTTTGATAAATAAGTTAAAATTGTATTATAAAAATTCAAACAAGTTTCAATTTTTAAAAAAGCTAAAACAATTGATTGATGATCTTCATCTGGATAATTTTCCACAATTCGAACATTTTCAATTGGACCAAATGTTATTGAATTTAAAAATTCAGTTATTGATAAATCTTGATTAATATTTAATAAAATTATTGATCTTGTTGGATTTTTTGAAATTTGAAAATTTGAAGAAATTTTTGTTAAAGTTTGTTGAGATGATAAGTTATATAATGAAGAATTACTTGAAATTGCACCACTTTCACCTGAATAAATATGTTGATCTTGTAAAATTGGTGGATGATCAAAAGTTGATTCATTTAATGAAGAACTTGAAGAACTTGAAGATTTAAATTTAGGTTTTGATGGAGTATCATCTAAACCATTTGAACTTGAAGTTGTATTATTTGAAGAAGATTTATTACTATTATTATTTTTCAAATTATGAATATTATAAGATGAATTATGTCTTTGTAAAGTAGCATGATAATTTAAACCTCTTCTTCTTGCACTTTCAGGTGGGAAATTTAATTTTGGAGCAGAAATTGGTGAAGCCATAAAATATGAAGTTTGATTTTGATTTTGCATATTTGAACCATGATTTCTAAATGAAGTATGATGAGGTGAAGGTAAAGGAGATTGAACTTGAATAAATGGAGAACCTACTAATAATTGACGAGGTAAAAGTGATGAACCATAAGCCATATCAAATGGAGTTTGAGGCACTTGAGGCACTTGTTCTTGAGAATATTGTTTATAAATTGATGGATATTTTTGGTATGGCATCATTTTGAGAGGTTAATATTTAATATTGATGTGATGTATTGAATGAAATGAAATTTTTGATGAATGTTGATGAATTAAAGATCTAAATGAATCTAATAATTAATGAAATGATGAAATAACCTTTTTTTTGATAACAAATGACAATATAGAGCAAAAAGATAACAAGCGAATGATTAAAGTCCCTAACGAATTAAAATGTGGATACTTTTTGATTGTTATTTAATTTTGATTTTGGCTTATTTTGACCAATCTTTTTTTTTTTGCCTTTTCCTTATGGACGTGTTTTTTGACTTGTTAAAAGACTCAAACCTGAGTACTAAACAAAGGAATATATGAAATACTTTGATCTGAAAAACAAATAACTAATCTTTTGTTATGAACTTGTTGAATATTCCCAAATAAACACTTATAAAGTTGATGATATCAAAATTTTCTTCCCTAGATGAAATAATGAGATCTTGGATTTGAAATGTTTGAGTACCCTTGTGAAATTAAGCGCCCTGTTGAGAAATGAAACGTCAGTTAATGCGCGTAGCGAGAGTTCTTTTGGTAGCGAGCAGTCAGTGGACGAAGAATAGCAAGAAGGACTTGAGTGTCTTTTAATCTTTTAGTGATTGATATTTTGTGAGTTCTTTAAAGGGTTTTTAGTTTGTATAAACAATGAAATTTTAAAAGAAAATCAACAAGTTTATTTCCAAAAAGTTCAAAAAGTTCAAAATCGTTAAAAATAAAATCAAATATGGACAATTTTTTAAATTAGTCTCAGTTTTGGAAAAATGAAATTTGCACTTTTGGCGACTGAAACTTTACTCGGTTAAGTAATAAATGTGAATTTTAAGGGGAGTACTGAGACTATGACTGATATCACTATGATCAAGGTTCGTATTGTTATTAAGAATCTTTAATTGTATTGTATAAAGGCTACGTAGGATCCAGACACGAGGATGTTAATAAATTAGTATTTCAAGGTGGTTCTGAGATTTTGCTTAAACACCTTGGAAATTAAAGTTGGGCGTAGGCCGCGCGCAGCTGGGAACTACAGACTTTAGTCCCGCACCTCGTGCCTGTCAACTACTAATATAAGCATCAAATTAAAATATTATGGGGACTAAGACCAGAAACCAGGGACCAGAAGGGACTAAATGATAAACTTGAAGCGAAAATTTAAACAATATCATAAACTTGTAAACCATAATAAAGCCATAATTAAGTTACAAGTACTTATCTTTGATATATTATTTAATTATTAATCAAATATTGATATTATTGTATTATCACTCGAAAGTATGGCTTTTAAATACACAGATGGATCCTACCAATCTCCGCTGTATGGCTTGTATAATCCTAGTATACTTCACTCAAACAAGCACTCACTGAACACAGAGTATAAAGTACTAGCCATGCACACTATTCAAACATTCTTAGGATCTTTTGTGAGACAGAACCACTTCTCTTCGAATTTGATTGATTTAAACTTTACGCTTTACCCCAAAAAGGAGAATAACCTAGTGATACAAAATACAAAATACAAAATACACAGTAAAGAACAGCCCTAAACTGTTAATCTATAAGTTTTAACAAGCCTTGATTCTTGACTCATCGGCTCTCGAATCTCGAAGCCATCGATAATACTTTATGGCACCCCAGGAGTAAGAACCAGTTGGACCCTCCAGGACCTATAGTTTAGAATTGTCGATCATCATTCAAGTGATTCCAGAAATAGAACGAAGGACATATAGATTCAGGGGTACAATTAAACAGAAGAAAGTAAATCAACAAAGCTTACAAAAGTATCAACAATGATTCAAGTAAATACATGATCCACAAACACTTTGAAGTAATGATTTAGTACTCATTTGGTGAAGTTGATTGGTATATTAAAGTGTATATTCCTGGCCTAGGACTATCTTTAACCTTTAAATGTTTGAAAATGTCTAACATTGAAATTCACCACGATTAACTTCAAACACTTTCAATACTTTGTATAATAAAGCCTGTGCTACTATAACTAATAACATATTTAAATCTATAAAGCATTCTCTACTTGATCATAATATCATATCATCATGTCAATATCAAATGATCGCTTTCGGATGTATCTGATAATATGCAATTAGAGGCATGGGAAGCTCTTCGATTTTTGATCAGCTATTTAATTTTCTTCATCGTATATTTAAACTATAAGTAAGCCTTGTTTAAATAGAGATATTTTACACGAAGAAAGAATCATATTATTAAACATTTAACTTGATGAAAGACGCGTATAAAGCGTATGAAGTATAAACTTGATCATATTGTTTATAAAGATCAATATTCGAATATTCAAGCGCGTCTTGTTTACATTAGTCTAGTTAGTCTTGATTTTTACTTAGAGTTTAGATTTTACACTTGAATCATGAACAAGTACAAATATCAAATCTCCAGATTTAAACATGAATATAGTAAACGGTTTGTTGATAGTTGCTATAAATAAACAATAAAAGTAGCCTCAAATGAGAATGAAATAGTCATGTGAGCCATGGAATCATGATCAAGTTTAAACTATATCTGAACGATGAGGCCGCTTAATTAAGACTCGAGTATATAAGTTGTATAGCTCTTTAGAATATGATTAACTACATAATCAATCAAAGACTAATATGTATATTAATTCAAAACAATTAATGATAAAACTTTAGTTCATTTGTGTTTGATATTGTGATCAATCAACAACAAAATGAATGTAGTTTCTCATGAAATACTGATCCTTTAAAGTTGATACATTTCTGACTATTCATCAGATATATCTTGTTTGCACTTGCAGGTCAGATAAAATTATAAACTGGATCAATCATCATTGAAATATCAATCAAATTAAGATAAAAAAGAGCATGTTCTTTGCACAACGTCGATGAAATCAGCTGTACAGTACATGGGAGATTGAGCAAAATCAAAAAACAACATAATCATATGTTAGAATTAAAGGAGTGAAGTGTATAGAAAAGTAATTTTTTTTTTAAATTTAATATTCTTATCAAAAATTTACCTGTCAGTTCGAGAATCAAAACCTCCTTCCGTAATTTAATTCTCTTTTACAATACAATATAAAGTCATTAGAACTGATAAACATGGTATTAAACAATTAAGATTATCATTGGAAAGGGTTTCAAGAGAATTTTACGTACATCACCCATAACGAAAAAGAAGGTTCAAAAGTCGATGATGGAATTACATTCAAGATGAATTATCAAGTCAAATAAACTACAAATATCTACATCAACAAAGTCCCATTAAGACATTATATTAATGACTTAATATATACAGGAAAAAATGATACGTAGAATGATCAATAAGATCATTTCAAAGCTTCCATTTCTGATAAAGAGTCATAAAATTCCCCCAAATTAAAACAACCCAATATCAAAAAATTAAAAACACTTCTAACAACCAAACTAGCCCAATTAATTATAATCATAGTATCAACTTCAAATCATTCATGAAGGATAAAAGGTTTTATATAAAGATAACTATGCTTGTCATGAGTAAAAAAAAATCCCCTTCAAAAAAGAACTCAATTATTACAAACATCAAAAACTTCTTCAACTCGAAAACACTATGTGAGTTGGTTGTCGATTATAATTAATTAAAATACTTCAAACAGAAAATGAAATTTGAAGCACTATGTGTTTTTTTAAAAAGAAAATACCATGATTTGATAGAATTCCAAAAAGTACCCAAAAAAGAACTCCATATTCAAATCATACAAAAAACTTTAGATCAACGTGAACATAACAAACAAAAGTCACATTGATCAGTAGCAGTTATATTGATTTCCATTACCTTAAATTGAAATGATCATAAATGGTGGATTGAGATATTTATATCACCATGATCAAAGCTTTTCAAACAACTTTATTAAATGTAAATAATTCTCAAAAAAGAACTCATTGATTCCCCTAATACCAACTTGAACTTTATATTAAAACCATAACAAATAAACCATCATCATAAAAACCTCAGATTCTTAAACCAAAACCAGCATTCATAGAATTTAACAATTCCAATCATAAGCTCTAAAAACCAAACAAACTGCAATATTGATGATTCCACCCCCCCAATGAAATCATCAACGATTCAAGATATTAACGTAATCATTTTGGACCGGATCCACAACAACAAACCATTCATCATTTCCAATATATAAAAGACATTTCAAAAAACAAATCAAAAAAACCCCCGAAATTTTGAATTGTAATTGATCATATGTTTAATCAAAGTAAATTTTGTAATTTATGTATATGATACTTTGATTTTATATGCAAAGTAGTTGAACTTAATCACACCTTGATGCTTATATATGGTTTATATATATCAAATAATTATGTGATATTGATATATATCTGTTGTGGATAAAGAAAAGAAAAAAGTGGAAAGAAGATTGAAATGAATAAAAGGAGGTCCATGGTCTTATATAGTTTTTTGAATTGATTATCTGTTTATTGATTTCTGTCTGACAATGTGATGATTATCTGTTTAGATCGATTTCTGTTTAGGATTGCGTTGTTTTCTGTTGATATGTTCTTTGATCAGTATGTGTAGATAATAAGATATATTGAGGTGTTTGCCTAGTGAGACAGAAAACTAACTTGAAACGACGTAGTTTATAATTGCATATAGTAATTAACTAGTATACAAGGGGTGATATTAAAATCAACGTGTATATAATACTAGATATGTAGTACTTGTCTTACAATGGATATCAATAATTACATGAAACATTAAAACTAAATAATAAACAAAATAAATAAATCAATCAAAACAGTTTTTTTTTCTAAAGTAACAAGAGTTTAATTAATCAAACTCCTAAATTTGAATTCTGCCAATCAAATAAACTACCACTTCTTTGACGTTGTTGAGGTTGTTGAACTGGAGGTTGTTGTTGATTTGGAATTAAATGTGATGTATTTATTGGTGTACCAAATGAACTTGTAGAATTACCAGTTAAATTTGGTTCTAATTTTATATTTGAATCTGTTAAACCTGGTGTAGTAACATTATTAAAGTGTTGGAAATCAAATGAATTAAAAGTATGTGATGATGAAGTCTGTTGTTGTTGCTGTTGCTGCTGCTGTTGTTGTTGACTTGGTGTTAATTCACCATTAACATTAACATTATATCCACCAAAATCAAACCCATTCAAATCAAAATCTAACCATGGAGCTAAACCTAATGAACCATCTGCACCAAAATCATAATCAACAGATTGATGATCTTCTAAAGAACCATTACTATCACCACTATTACTCTGTGGTTGTTGAGAAGGAAATTGTCCTGGATTTTTAATAAAACTATTTGAAGTTGTTTGATCTTTTGGTGATGGTATGAAGTTACCATTACTATTATTATTATTTGTTGGATATGAAATACTAACAGATCTTTGTCTATTAACAGGAACTCTTTGAGCCGCGGTACTTGAATCATAAGAAATTGGTGGGATATTATCTAATTGTGATAACATATTTGATAATTGTTCATTTGATTCTGTTTTAATTCCTGTTGAACTTTGATTTGAAGCTGCACTATGTGAATAAGCACGAGATCTTGAAATTTCAACACCATTTTTCAAAGGTGATAGAGTATTTCCTGTTCCTTTCTTCTTTAATTCTGAAGTTGATCTTTTATTTGAAGGTGTTGGTGTTGATGATGAATTCGAGTTTGGTGAAGCTAATATAGATTCAATTGCATTTTCAAGTAATGAAACACAATTCTTGGATAAATTACCAGGAATTTCATTTATATTTTCATTTTTCAATTCATTTATAATATTTTGTAAAATTGATTTAGATTCTTGGAATAAAGCACCACCTCTTGTATATTCTAATGAACCTTTTGCACTTAATAAACTTAATCTTGATTTAATTCTTGAAATATTCATTGGGATTGGGATATAATAAGTCTTTTTAGAATATAAATCAGATAAAATGTTTAATATAGCTAAAGTACATTGTTGAATAACAATATGAGAAGCTGAACCACGACTTTTACTAACTTCTGATGCAATAACTGGTAAATGTATAAGAATTTTTGCACTATAATATAATAAAACTAATAATAATTGTTTATCATTATTTTTTGAACTTGAATTTTTCTTGAGTAATCCATTAACATCTAATTCAAATTTAATATTATTTGGTAAATCTCTTCTCCAAGAATCCAATAAATTTTCATGAATTAAAGTTAATTCTTGGAAATTATCAAATGATGAATGATTATGTCTCTTGAAAATTGAGTCCAAGACATTACCTAAAACTTTTGAATATCTCATTATAGCTAATGATAAATTACAAACTTTACCAACTAATGGAATTTGATTATTATTAACAATCAAAATATTAATATTATTATCATCATCTAAATTATCATTACCAAATGGTAAAGCACATTCAATTTCATAATCTTTTAATAATCTTGGAACACCTAATTGTAATGAAGCAAATGTATCCAATGTATAAATACACCAAAACAGGATACGTCTTTCAGCTTGATGAAATTTTGACACAGTAGACCCATTATTCCCCAAAACAGCGGAAGGACATCTATGTAATCTTAATTGTTGAGCCATTGTTATTACTCGACCACGTAAATTATAACTTGTTATAACATCACCAGTATTTAAACAATAAAATAAAGCCAAACTTAATATTTGTAATGATTGAATTGAACAAGTTGATGTTATTGATGAATTAATTAATTGATGAATTAAATAATCATAATATAAAATTTGATCTTTATCAGCATCACCAAATTTAGATCCCGGATCTGAATTATCACTTTTTGGTGAATTTGAAGAATTATTTTGATTTTTTTGACATAATAAAGCTAACTGAACTATTAAAATCATTATAGCACCAAATTTTTCTTTATGAACCATATTATTATCATTAAATTTATTTTCAAATGATTGAGAAAATGAAACATATTGTTTTAAGAAATCATTTTTATCAATAATTGGAATAATTAACCCCCATTCTTGGAAATATATAGTAATTAATTGATCTAAATGAAATTTTGGTGGTAATTTTAAATTATTAAAAAATAAATTTGATTCAGCCTTGGAAATAGTTTTAAAATTTATATTTGAAAAATTTATAATATTATTACGTTCTTGAATTATCTTGGAATTTATTTTTGGGATTTCTTTTAATGAAGCCATTGCACTTGCTGTGGTTAAACAAGTTTTTGAATCTAATCCATGAACTTCACCAATTTTACTTAATAAACTTGGTATAAATAAAGTTTCTTCTGTTGATCTTGGAATTGCCATTGCAACTAATGTAGCTAATTGAATTTGTTTACTATTTGATTTATTCATTTTAGCAATTGCCATAGCTGCAGGTAAACCTGGAGCTTGATTTTGTTCAAAACTAACATTATTTGGATTATTATTGAAGTGATTGTAGTGTGAGTTATTGTTATGATTATTCCAATCATTATCATGATTGAATGACAAAGCATCATCATCAGTTAAATAACCATTATCTAAATCAACAGAACCTGCAATGGAAACAGGACGTTCATTAACACTATGAGGATAATTTGCACAACAACCAGGACCTGAATGAACATGTTTTGGATCATGATCTATATATTCAGTTAATAAAGAAGGATTCTTGGTAATTGGAGATTGATTTTGATCATGACCTTTATTTAATAAAGATAAATTTGAAGAACTTAATGGTTGTTGTTGTTGTAATTGATCTTGATTATTATTTTCCAACTTGTTATATAATTCCATTTGTTCATCTCTAAGATCTAATAGGGAAGTTAATCTTTTATTTTCAGCTTCTAATTCACGTACTCGTTCTTCTAAAGTTTCAGTATAACCTCTTGGGAAAGCACGACGACTTAATCGATCACTAACTTTACATTCAAAACCAACAGCGGCACATTGAGAGCATTGAGGTCTTTTCCCATCACATCTTGTTTTCTTTAAACGACAACGATCACAAGCTTGAGCGACTCTTTCAATTTGAGAACCTGGAGCTCTAATAACTTTTCTGTAATGAATGGTTAGTACTAATGAAAATATATGAAGCAAGGAATAGTAATACATACGTCTTTGGAGGTCCATTTGAAGGTTTCTCCTTCTTGACTTGTTGAACAGCCATTTATGTGTTTGTGTTTGAGTTGTGTTGTGTTGTGTTGATGTTGTTGTTGAAATATTTCAATTCTTCCAATATGACTCAATTAATATGGGGTCTGGAGATACTCTTGACTCTCTTAACTCCAGATTGAGAGATGGTGGTACTGATAGTTAACTGATTGTGTAATTGTAACACTGTGTGATGATTCCTTATCTAGTCTCTTCTAATAAATATCCCAGATATAACCTATATTCTAATAAATTCTAGTAATAAATATGATTCTTTTCAATTTCTTTCATTCAATTTTATTTTCTTTCATTTGTTGACGTACTTTTTTTTAAATTAATTTGTGGGTGAACGAAAAAAACTGAAAACTAAAAAAATTCGCGAAGATTTGGTCATTTATATTACATAATTAATTACATAAGACATTTATTCATTATACAAAGCTTCATCTTCATCTTCATCTTGTTCTACTGGGAGTTGTGTTTGTTCAGTAGGAACTACTTGTACCACTGGTGCATGTTCTTCTTGTTCTGGTTGTTCTAGTTGTTCCTGTTCTTCTGGTTGTTCATCTTCATACCCAACTATCTTTCTAATTGCTTCAAATTTCTTTACATCATTAATATAATCTAATTTAATCTCTTTAATCTCTTTTTCAAATTGATTCAATTGTTTTTGTAAATTCATTTGAATCTCTTTTAATTTATCAACTGAATTATTTAAATTAGCTTTAAAAACATATTTTATAACTTCTTGTTCTTCGAAAAATGGTGTTTCATCTCTATCATCATTTCCATCTTTATCGATATCAACATCATTATCCTCAGTTGCCTTCTTCTCTTTTTCAACTTTTATAATTGCCCTTCTCTTGGAAACTCCTGGTGAATTTTTAATCAATTCTGCATCATCACCAAATATTTCATCAAGTTCATCCGAAGTATATTGTAATTCTTGTAATCTATTAAAAGATTCAATAATTCTATTAATATCTTTAATTTCAAATTGTTTTTTATTTAATTCTTCAATTTTTTTCTTTGTCTCCAGAAATTTTTTAAATAATAGAGCTTTCCTTTCTGATATTGAATCTTGTGAAAAATAAGATTGTAATTGATCATTTTCACTAATTAAATTTTCATATTCTAATTTAGAATGATCAATTTGTGTCTTTGCGGTAGAATATTTATTAATTAAATCTTGTTTTAATTTAAATAATTCTTCAATTCTTAAATCTGGTAATTTCCCATTATATAAATCTAATTGAATTGATGATATTTCATTTGATACATTTGTATAATTTAAAGTTGCTGTGCTGAATATTCTTGTTGAACCAACACGTTCTTCTAAAGCGTCATTAATGGCAGTGGGAGTAGAAAGAACCATGATTAAAGACACAGACTTAGATATTGAAATAATAGAAATGTTGATTGTTGATTGTAATTTGGTGTTAATTTGATATAATTGTTGATGTTTTTTGTTTTTCAATTAAAATCACATCCAAACACCAAAATCCAAATTGTTTTTAGATCATCAAAGTTGACATCAAAACAATAAGCAATTTCAACTAAGTCTCATAAGATTTGGATACTTTACAAGGAATTGTTGGTATTGTTGGTTATAAAGTGATAAGAGAAGGTATATTCAGGTTAATCATTGCTGCTTACAGAAAAAAATTACCCAAAAATGAGTGAAAACCTAGATCATCAAGTCATTTTTGCTGCTTCAATATTAGCATCAAAAGGTTCATTACACAAATTATCCAAATTATTAACAAATTATAATATTGAAACCCATATATTATTACAAATATTGTTAATATTAATACCTGAATTAACACCATGTGATGATATTGTCAATTTATTCAAATCAATTAATGATGTTGAACCTATACAAAATTTAGATTTCATTAAAGAATTCATATCAAATGAATTTGAATTACATGATCTTTTACAATTATCAAATGAAATTTTAATAAGTCGTACAACTCAATTGCAAAAATATCTTAATGAACAAAGCTCAAAATTTGGGTTTTCAGATGATAATTATACAAACTTTGTTAAGGCAAGAGTACGTAAAATTTTACAAATTATTCCAATTATTCATTCACAAGATTTATTATTTAATTTAGTTTCCCAGGATGAAAATTTTCAAAATTGGTATAATGGTATAATAATACCATATGAATATTATTTAAAAATTAGCTTAGATCAGAATTTATCATTACAAAATTTTGAAAAAATTGATGAAATTTCTAAAATTTCTTTAATTATAAAACCTATTGAAATTTCAACAAAATTAATTGAGACTCCATTAATTTCATTAATTCAAAATGTTAAACCTGAATCATTTTTATCATATCTGGAAACTAATCAACCAAAATCTTTCAAATCATTAAAATTAATTCTGGAATTGATTACCCAAATATTACCAATTTTTGAACCAAAAGATCAATTAATAAATCAAACATTAAACATCATTTACAATTATGAAGAATTATCAGAAATTTCATTAAATTTAATAAATGAATTAATCCTTCAAATTCAAGAATATTCAAATGATTCAAATGTTTTAAAATTAGCAAAATTATCAATTTCTGCTAAAACTATTAAATATTATAACAATTCATTGAAATCCTTAGATTTAGTTTCAAACAATCATAAAAGTCAATTATCTTTATTCCAATCAATACTTGAAAATCAAATCAACCCCAAGACAACAAAACAAGAAATTAATCAATTATTTGTATTAAGACAATCAATATTTACAAACCTAGAATTACAAGAATATAATAAATTAATCATATCAAAATTATTATCGTTAAAACTTTTCAATTTATTATCATCAGATAATATTGAAGAAGATCAAATCATTGATTTTTTTTGGAAATGTTTTAAAAAAGCATCAAATGGTTCTAAAAATAGAGGTGAAATTCTTAATGCTTCAAATGCTTTAAAAATTGTTAATAATCCTTCATCCAAAATCATGAATTTACAAAAATTAATTGATTCAATTGATGAAATTTCAAAATTTTCTTTATATTTCCATAAAAACAAACCTCTTGTCCCTGGAGATTTATTAAAATTTCAAGATTCTTCAATTATAATTGAAAAAATATTAGAACTGAATCCACATGCTTATTTAAAATTTGAAAAATTATATCAAATATCTGAAAATTTATCTCAAGGTCTTGATATGAAAAGAATTGATTCATTTGATTTGAAAATTCTTTGTATAAAGAATTCTTTAGTTAATAATGATTTCTCATTTGCTTATGAAAGTTCAATCATTTTATTTGATCAAGAAACCACAGGAGATAAATTGAATGATAATTGGTTGATTTTTTTCCAAGTTGGGAAATTTTTCTCACCAGATTGGTATGATTATGAACAAGGTATTCCTGAAGAAATTTTAAAAAAACAATTAAATTTATTATCAAAAATTTTAAAAATTTGTCCTGTGAAGAATAGTCAGATTGTTATTGCACAATGGAGTTCTTTAGATATGGAATTATCTCTGAGATGATCATGACTATATATAAATGCATTTAAAAAAGCTTCTACTTGTAGATCAGTTATTATTAGTTGTCCAAATTGTAAAACAAAACAAACTATATACATAATAAAACAAATTCATTAAACACCATCAAACAGTTCATTCAGCTCTCTTCCTAAAGTTCCGTCTATTAACAATTATATTATCATTTGATTCATCTTGAGTCATATATGGTAAATCTTTAACCCCCATTTGACTTGGACTTGATGCATCAACAAAAGCTTCTTTGCCGTCACTTTCAGATTCAGATTCAAAATCAGGATCATGATAAGCTTCACTCTGAGATCTAGAAGAATGTGCATTAGCCATTGCTCTTTCAATATCTTTTTGTTCTAAGTCAATACTTCTATTGACATTATTACCTTCAAGTTCTAATCTTGCATCTTGAGCAGATTTTAATCTATTATAAAATTCAATAACTTTTGGATGAGCCCAAATTTTTTTTTCATCGAAAAATAAAACTTGTAAACCTTCTCTTGAAACAGCTCTTGATAATGCAACATAAGCTTGACCTTTTTCAAAAATTTTCTTTAAATTAACTCGAACTCTTGGTAATGTTTGACCTTGAGATTTATGAATTGATAAAGCCCATGCCAAGATTAATGGAACTTGCATTCTGGTGACTAATGGTCTTTCAAATTCATCTGAAACTTCCCAAATTTCTGGTTGAACCAAAATAGTTCTACTTTGTCCATCTGGTGTTAAAAATTTAACTAATGGTAATAATTTCCCTCTTGAACTTTCATGTAATTGATTCATTAATTGTTTTTTCATTTCAATATTTTCCTTAATTTCTGGATCTTCAGATTTAAAATCATTTAAAAAATCAAATACAGTATCTTCTAATATTGGATGTGGACCTTCTTCAGTTGATTCATTTCTTGGATTAAATTTAACTTTTTCTATAGCTTTTTCAATTTCAGAATTATCCATAAAATTATCTTCACGTAAATTTCTATAAGTTAAATAAGTTTCTTGATCAATAAAATCAATAACTTTACCTAATGAGCCATTAACTAAAGTTTCATCAATATTTTTGATCATCATAACTTGTGCACCTTTTTTCAAATTTAAAACTCTTGGAGCCATAAGATTTGATAAAAATTTTTCTCGTTGATTTGGATCTTCTAAATAACCAGCATCAAATGCTGTATAAGTTTTAATTTCTGATGGTAATTGTCTTAATCTTAAACTATTTGCATTTTGAACTTCATAACGAGTACTATATAATTCAGCAGGTTCAACATCACTTTGTGGTAAATTTCTTTCTAATTTTCTAAAATTTTCTGAAGATTTTGTAGAAATTTTACCTAATCTCATTTCATTCAACATTGTGATAAATTCCATATCACCTTTTTGTCTGAAAACTTTTTGTAAAGTAATTGTTAATTTAATACATTCTTTCCAAGCTCTTGAATCAAAACAAAAAATTGCAGCTGGTTCATCACTTTTTGAAACTGGTGGTAATTGGAAAAAATCACCACAAACAATAACTTGAATACCACCAAATGGTTCATCATTTCTTTTTATAGCTTTAGCAATTGAATCTAATTTATCAAATAATTTACCATCAATCATAGAAATTTCATCAATAAATAAAACTTTACAATTTTGCCATCTTTGTCTACCTTTCCTACTTTTTCTAACTCTTTTAATTAATTCTTCAGTTTTCTCTTTACCTAATCCGATGCCAGCAAATGAATGTAATGTAATACCACCAATATTACAAGCAGCAAGACCTGTAGAAGCCGTGACATGAACTTGACCAGGTCCATGTATATTTCTCATTGTTTTAATCATACTTCTTAACAAAACAGATTTACCAGTACCAGCAGAACCTGTATAGAATAAACTATTTCCCTCTTTTGCCAGATCAATAATATGTTGTTGCTCTTCACTTAATGTCAGTGTTTGTACAGTTTTAATTGGTGGTGTATCACCAATTTTTGATCTTGATGTAGTACTAGCAAATCTTTCACCAGAAATTTCATTTTGTAATTCATGATGAATTGTTGGTCTTTGAGTTAATAACAGAAGTTCTGCATTTCTTTTTTTAGGTCTATTAAGTAAATTGGGTATTGATTTTGTTTCTGATTTAGTTTCAAATTTACTTGTTGCAAATTTTGGTTTGAAAAAATCTTGTACACCTTGATCCTCATATTTTGGTATAGGTTCAGTAGTCGATTCTTTCAAGTTTGGAATAGTGGCATGTGGGGGTGAATTTAACAATGTTTCACTTTTGATTTGTTGTGGAGCTCCATGTCTCTCGTTATAACTATCCATTGATGGATACAAGTCTTTTGATTTATTAGTTGTTGGTTCTGAAACTGGAACGTTTGGGTATAATTGTTTATTTTCTTTATTGGCATCTTCGTTATGTTTTGATAATGATGGGAATGCATCATTTGTTGAATGTTCTTCAAATGAGTCAAAAATAGTTTGTAAATCTAAATTTTTGGCATCTTGTGATAATTTAATGTTTTTAATTGCTTCATTAGTATTATTGTTACTTTGTGGGTTTAAAACTCTTTTATAAACGGTTTCTGTTTTATGATATGATGGTGAAGAAGTGAACGCAATTGAAGATGAAGCTCTTTCAATACCACCTGGTTTCAAGAATGGTAGTTTTTTATTTTCAATTTTTGGTGCTTCTAGTGGAATATCTGAATCATCTTGGAAAAAACTATCATCAAAATCATCTTCATCTATAAAACGTGTCAGTTTTGGTAATGGTTTAATATCTTCATTAACAGAAGTTTTACCTAATTGTGATATTTTGATTTTTTGTGATGATTTATCTATAGGAGATGAAAAATCTTGTAATAAAGCAGATATTTTTGATTGTGATGTTGGTGGTGGTGGTGGTACACTATCAACTTCCTCTTTTGGTCGCACTTCATCAATTTCAAAAACATCATCATCTGTAAAATCAGAATTGAAATCTTGTTCGAATTCTTTATTTCTTGCCTTTACAGGACTTTGCTTAACTGCTGGTTGAACATGTTTTAACTCTAATGATGAACCATCATCACTAAATCCATCAGAAAAAGATTCTTCTAAAGCTAGTATATCAGCATCTTCTAATTTCTTCTTGGCTGGTGAAGAGGTAACACCTGATTCCAACTTCATTTTCTTCACTGAAGTTCCATAAAACCTTGTAGCGTCCATATGTCTATATTGATAACTGGTTAATTTAAATTGAATGTATGGAGGCGATAATAGTTTCTTTGATCTTACCGTGCTTGACACAGTATAGAAACAACCACTTTTGGAAACCCTGATGAAGTTCATATACTATCTGGGATCATCCACTGGATCCAATCTGACTTCATACAATAAAAAAAGGACTTTTGATGGTGGAATATTGACTTTTTGAATAAAACTCTGCTAAACCGTTTCCTCTTGGATATAACCTGATGAAACCGCTGCCTAACTCTCTTTTCCCTTTACCGCCACTCAATATCCACAGATGGCAGGCAATTTTTTCACGAACTGAGCTGTTGATGTAAAACCACCCTTTTGACTTGTCTTTTGACTTGTGGATCCTCAGCTTCTTTTATGATTTTAGCACAGCGTTAAAGTTTTTAATTCCCCTTCACGAAAAAAAAGTGACGAGTAACAAAATCGTGAAGTTGTTGAAGCAGAAGTGTGTGAGCTTTGAAGGGAAAACACTTTTAGGCAGAGGAAGGAACTCTATTTAGACAGGGAAAATGACACAGCTGAACTGGAGCATCACCAAAGTATCAGCTAAGGAACTCTCACTAGCTAAAGTATTGAGGTGTGGACAGGCTTTCAGGTGAGTGTTCAGCTTATCTTAGTACTATGGAATTAATACTAACGCGAAACTGATAGATGGAAGAATATTAATAACGTTTGGTCATGTTCTATAGGGAAAAACGTACTGTTTTTGAAGCAAACAGGTGATGATTTACACTATGCTAGCTATCCAGAATCTACCAAAACATTTGAACTCATTAAAGACTATTTCAATCTAGATATTAAAGTTCTAGATCTATATGATAAATGGTCAATAAGTGATAAGAATTTTAATAAAAATGCTATTGGTTTCGAAGGTGTTAGAATGCTAAGACAAGATCCATGGGAAAACCTGATTTCATTTATTTGCTCTTCAAACAATAATATCAAAAGAATCAGTCAAATGTGTGATAATTTATGTTTACATTTTGGTGATTTTATAATTAATCATGAAGGTATAGATTATTATTCATTCCCATCTCCATCAATTTTATCACAAGAGGGTACAGAAGAGAAATTAAGAAATTTAAGTTTTGGCTATAGAGCTAAATATATTTATAAAACCGCTTTAATGGTTCATGAATCTAAACAAGATTTATTCAAATTACGTTCATTACCATATGAAGAAGCTCATTCAGAATTAATAAAATTCACAGGTGTGGGTCCAAAAGTTGCAGATTGTGTTTGTTTAATGTCTTTAGATAAACATGATGCCATTCCAGTTGATACTCATGTTTATCAAATTGCTAAAAGAGATTATAAATTAAAATCAAAAGGTGATACTGTAACAAAGCAGACTTATGAAATTGTAAGGAAATTTTTCATTAATATTTGGGGTCCTTATGCTGGATGGGCTCAATCTGTGTTATTTGCAGCTGATTTGAAAGATTTAAATAATGGGTTAAATCAAATTAGTGAAACAAATGGTTCATCAATAGTTAAAATTGAAGAAAAAATTATCAAGAAGGAAACCCCAATTAAAGATGAAGAAGAAATTACAAATATTAAACCTGAATTAGAAATTGAATATTCAATTACAGGTAGACCTAAAAGAAGAAAAACTATTAAAGTTGAAAATTGATACAACTACAAGTATTTATTCATATTCTTAACATAATATACAAAATGATTTATTATTTGCCTATATACAATATATTATATATGTAAAGAGATTCCTATTGTGATTCATCAACCAATTTATTAACAAATTCAGTAACAGATTCTATTTCATATAATTTATCAACTCTAATATTATTAGATCTTAAATTTTTAACACTTTCAATACTTTCAGTAATACTTTTAGTTGTTGGTTCAGAATGGAACAAGACAAAAGCTTCACCAGCATCTGTTATTGGTGTCAATTCTTGGAAATCTGGATGATCTTTAGCATAACGTTCAAGTTTTAAATTTGCAATGAATTTTAAACCTTCAACAAAATGTTTATCAACAATATTATCTGCAATGATTTCACTTATACCGAAAATGGCATACTGTAGACGACTTAAAGTTTGTTGTAATTCAACTTCTTCATCCTTGGTAGCAGTTAAGAAATTTTCTTTAAATTCATTTAATATTTGTTCTTTTTGTTCTGGTAATAATTCTTGTGATCTTTCATGAGCATGATGACGTTCACTTAAAACATGTCTAATTCTCCACATGGTTTCACGTACTTTTTCAGCTAAATCACCATAAGGTTGAGCAGCTCTTTCAGAATCAACATTTAATAAATGTTGTTCTCTAGCTAAAATATTTCTTTCTTTTAAACATGTATACCATAAACTATGTAAATCATTAAAATTTTTACGTCTTAATTCTGGAATAGTCCATGAACGACTATTTTTATCTAATTCATCAAATTGTCTTAGGTAACTTTGTTCATGGAAAAATTGCCATAGAGGATGATCATCTGAAACTTCAAAATTCTTAACAGTTGGTGTAATTGGTGGTGTAATTCTTAATGGTACTTCTGCTGTTGATTTTGAAGTCTTATCTCTAGGAACAAACTTGGCCTTCTTCTTTGGTGCCTGTTTTCTGGCCAGACAGACACGGGAGGTGTGTAATAGTCTCTTGGAGTTCTGGAACATCTTCAACCACAGCGACTTCTTCAAATAACCTGTACTCTCAACAGACTTTATTCAATTTTATCACTTCGACATTTTTCACTATGAACTTTTTTTTCGATCTCAATTTTTCTCGCGAAAGCTGAAAACCCGGGGCTTCAAACCGGATTTTAATTGTAATTTGATTTTCTTTCCATCAACAAAACATTTGAGAAACGATATCAAAAGGAAACAAACTAAAGGAAGTATCCAATACCATCAGATCAACAATGTCAGAAACAGAAGTCAAACAAACATCTTCAGAACCTTTGGACTTGATAAGACTACTCTTGGACGAACAAGTATATGTCAAATTACGTGGTGCTAGAGAATTAACCGGCAAATTACAAGTGAGTACAACATGATATATACTATGTATTGAGAAGTTATACTAACAATGTCTTAGGCTTATGATTCACATTGTAATATAGTGCTAAGTGATGCTATAGAGACAATCTATGACATAGAGGAAGGAAGTGATGAATTAAAAGTATGTAACTGAAAATAACCAAAGTTGTGAGGAAGTGGATACTAATATTGTTTATATAGTCAACAACCAAAAATTCAGAAATTTTATTCGTTAGAGGTGATTCAGTTATCCTAATAAGTTCTCCATCAGATGAATAGTTTATAAAAACAACATACAAAAACTACACGAGATAAAATTGAATTTTTTAGATGTATTATAGTTAATGAATGCCCTGCATAATATAAATAAAAATAAAAAAACTATGTACAATGCTTATTCAAAATAATATCTCAAATACTATTTCTTCTTTGAATACTACGGTTTTGTCTCTCAACCAAAACATTTGCACCTGCAATTTTTGGTAATTTATTAGTATCTGCTAATTCTTTTAAAACCATATGACCATAAATTGATCCAACATTATAAATTTCTTCAAATTTACCAAAATCTAAAGTTGCATAATTTTCAATTGGTGGTCTCAAATAAATTATACCTGGTGTGTTTTTTGCCCTTTCTAAAGCATTAACTGAACTAACATAACATAATCTCATTTGAATTTCACTCATTGTTGGAACATTTGGATGTTTGGAAAAAGGGTTCCAACGATTAAATAAAATCCATAATCCACTTAATGAATCACCATATTTCATTGGTGTACGATCATCAATTGATCCAACATCAACTGCAAATATAATACTTGCACCTCTATTTTTCATTTCTCCAACTGGTAAATTATCAACATAACCACCATCCAATAACATTGATCCATTATCTGTCACAGGTGGTAATAATCCAGCAAGAGACATTGAAGCTCTAATAAATCTCCATGCATAACCTGATGAATGAATATCCATTGTAGAATTTGTAATATTTGTTGAATTACAATAATATTGAATCCAAAAATCTTCAATTCTACTATCTCCAAATGCCTTCCAAATACCACGATTAAATTCATGTCCTGTTGTATATGATGTAACAGGATAAGTTAAATCTGATAAAGTTCTCCATGCACTTGAAACTCTACCTGCAAATTTCTTAGCTCTACCATAAATTGGAACTAAATCATAATCTTTTGCATATAAACCACCAATAAATGATCCCATTGATGTACCACCAATCATATCAATTGGAATACCATTTTCTTGTAATGCTTTTAAGACACCAAGATGACTTAAACCTCTTGCACCACCACCACCTAAAACCAATCCAACAGCTTGACCTGATAATAATCTTGCTAATCTTAAGAAATCATTTTTATGTGGTGAAGTTGAATTAAAATTATTCTTGGATCCAACATATTTAGTTCTTAAATTTTCAACTTTTGTTTTAATATTTTTAGCAAATGTATTATAACCAGCTTCATTTCTTTCAGATCTTAATAATTCATTTGAATTTGTATTAAATTGAATATGATGATGAGAATGAACCCAAACACGATTTTTTAACCATTTACTTGCTAAACCAGGTTCAACATAACGTTCAGGATGTAATAAAATTAATTCTGTTCTTGCCGTGGTTCTTGTTTTCAATAATAAACGTTCATAATCACCAATACTTGTATCACTTAAAGCATCAGCTAATAACAGAATACAATCACCTTGTTGAATACAAGTGGTGGTCCATGATGAATTAACTGAAGTATCTGCAATATAAACAACAATTTGATAACGTTCTTCTAAATCTGAAAAAAAACCTGATTGTCTTAATCTTGAAAGTCTATCAAATGCATGTTTACCAAGATGATTTAAAGTTGAAGCTTGATCTAATCCAATAACTGATCTATCAACATTTTTAAAAGATTGAATTAATCTTGATGCAAATTCTTGAACTGGTAAACCATGAGTTATTGGTAAAATTGTAACAGTTCTATAATTTTTATTTGAATTTTTAAATTTTGTAATTGATGGAATTTGTGTAATTGAATCAATAATTACATCATTGTTTTCAGCTTTTATAGTTTTGGCAACAATTCTACTAACTTTAATCATAATTGATGGATTTTCTATTGCTAATATTTCAAATAAAGTTCTTGGAATTCTTGCAGTTTCTGAATCTCTAACTGCAATAAATGTACTTGATCTTTTTGCAGCTGTTAAAACTTCAACTTCACCAAAACTTTCACCTTGACCATATTCAGCAAGAATTTTAACATTATTATTCTTGACATTGGTAGATGATGATGTATTATTATTACTTGATTCATATAATGATCTTAAACGACCACTTAAAACAATATAAATACCATTAGCCGTGGTATCTTGTTTAAATAAAGTTTCACCAGCATCTAATTGAATCCATTCTAAAGCAGAATCTAATTTTAAAATTTTTTTACTTAATGAACTAATTAAACTTTTTGCAATACTTAAATAAATCATAAAATATTTTTCACATAATCTTTCTAAGGTTTTTTTAGGTAAAAATCCAACAAATACTTCAGTTTTAGCCTTTAATGTAACAAATGATTTATAACCAACTAAAGCACCTAAATAACCTGCAACACCACCTGGTTTAACTGTATATAATAACCGCTCATTATTTGTAGAAGGATCAGTATATGTAACATCTAATTCACCACTAACAACATAATATAATCCATTATTACGAGAATTTTGTTCAATAATTATAGAACCTTGTTCAATATGTAAAATTTCAATACCATTTGCAAAATCACTTTTAGCTTTTTCAAAATCAATTTCTGGATCAATTAAATTTTCCAATTCATTAAAACTTGATATTGAAAATCTTGAATTTGAAGTAGTTGACATTGTTCTTGTTTTTTGATTATTTATATTTGATGTTCTTGTTGTATACATTTCTTGTGGGAACGTTGTGAAAAGTCCCATTCCTTGTGGTATTGGACTTGAAAGTGCACTTGTAACAGTACTTGATTTTTTAGGTAATAAATTTTCTTTATCAATCCCCAAAAATTTAAACATACCTTCAACCAATGCGATTCTTAATGAAGTATCCTCGGTTTCTTCTTCTGCACTAAAACTTCTATTTATAACATCATCTTCTGCAATAGCTTGATAACTTAATTCTTTTCTTGATAATGGAACATTTGATAATAAATCACCTGGATTAAAAGAATCTCTTGAATCTAAAACAACATGTCTTGATTCGGTTCTTTTAGCTTTAGGTCTTATTTTAGATTCTAATCTTGATGATGGTGTAACCAAAGATGTACGACTTGTTGAACTATCAGTTCTTTTAGTTGTAGGTGTAAATGAAGTTGGTGGAGTTTGTTTTGTATCTTTAGATCTTCCTCTATTTTCACTTGTTGTTGTTTGATATTTTTTAAACCGTTGTTTAACACCATTATGTAAATAGCTTGGTAATTCTAATTTTGCATTACTATTTAATTTAATTTCAGTTTGAAAAATTTCTCTTGTTAAACCTAAATAATTATGAGCAGTTTGGAAAGTAACTCTATATAATCTTGTTAAAATCATTTGAACAATATGAGAAGAAGATCTTGGATGTTTTTTTTTCAACCTTCTAAATGAATCTGCTGGTATTATTGCAATTGTACAATCTGATGTTGCTCTTGCTATAATATTTGGAGTTTTAATTAAATCATCACCATGATCTAAACTAAATTCCGGGATATCAACATCTGGATGGAAATCATGATTTTTAAAAAATGGTGACTTGGTTGGGATAGTACCTGCACTAGTACCAATACCATTAAATTCATCTTCATCAGTGAATAAAGAAAGAATATTAACTAAAGAAGATAAAGGATTCCCAGTTTTAACATCATTTAATAATTGATATCTTTCATCATTTAATATGAAAATTTCACTTGCTAATTCATTTTGATCATCATCTTGCACATTTGAAAATTCAGAAAATGGACTATTATTACCAATTTCTTCATTTTGTTTAGAATTAAGATTTGAAGTATTAACTTTTGAATAAATTTGTACTTGACCTTCGACAACAATAGCAAAACCTAATTTTTCATCAACATATAAAATTTCATCTGTAATTAATTTTTGAGTTTTCATTGATCTTGTTAATTCATTGAATACAGGTTTTTCTAAATATCCAAAGATTTTAATTGCAGTTAAAAATTCATCCAAATAAGAACCAAACCTTCTCTTATTTTCTGTTTCTGAAGAACCAACATATGGATCAACCACAGGGATAGTTCTTGGTTCTTCAACAAATCTTGAATAACTTGTTAGGACTCTATATCTTAATATAGAAAATAATGTGAAAGTTATACCACTTAAGATGAAAAATAATGAACTAAAACTTAATGTAATACTAAAATTTGTTGATAATAATCTTATAATACTAGCTGGTACTGTGATTAATGAAAAACCTAATACTTTAACAGAAATTTTGGAAATTTCCCATAATAAATAACTTAGAATTGATTGTGATTGATTAGTGGAATCTTGGTATTGGTATGAAGCGATTGAAGATGTTATTGGTTGAAGTTCTTTTATGGGGAGAGATAAGTCTGAAGAATCAGCCATAGCTTATGGTGATTGATTGATTAATTGAATATTAATTGTTGTTGATTTGATTGTTGTTGTAATTGATCTTGATTGTTATTCAATTGTTAAGCGCTGGTTTTAGATTTCTATAGAAGTATTTAGAAATCGGATTTAAATTGAATTCGGAATAATTGGACATAAGTTAAAACATACATAATGAATACGACAATTTTAATAAAATAGATTTTTATTTATATATTTACAAAACCTAAGAAGGTTTTCAATTTGAGTTGTAATTGTTAATGTTAGCCACTTTTGGGTTTTAATAAATCTTCTTTTTTTCATCAATTGAATATTCACCAGCACCTGTATTAACAACCAACAGTAAACCACCAATGATTGATAAAGTTTGGAAAAATTCATATTTCAAATAATCTCTTTGAGCTTCTGAAGATGAAGACCAATAAGAATTTGAAGTGAAATTATAAAAAGTTAAAATTGTAATCAAGATAATTGATGCAAATTTTGTTTTATAACCTGCACCAATTGAACCAATACCAATTAAAATGAAAAATGTTGTAAACCAACTCTTTGTTAGAATGAATGTAAAGAATAATAAAACTAATAAAATTCTACCAGCTAATAAGATATAACTTTTAAATTCATTATTTGAAGAAATTTCAGGCAAACCAGCAAATCTTGTCTTTTGTTGAACTAAAGTATCACTAAATGCAATTAATAATCCACCAATTAATGAGAAATTTCTTAAAATAAATGTAGAACCAGAAAATAATCCATACATAAAACCTTGTAACAAAATAACAAAAATTAAAGCACCACTTGCATATAATGAATGTTTTCTCAAAACAATTAAAGTTGAAGCACCCAACATTACCACAACAACTAAAGTTAACAAAATAAGAACTAAGAAATATGGGATATGTCTATAATTCCATAAGTAATAGATTTGATCAGACCATTGACTTAAAATTCTTAAAGAATCTTCATAAAAAGTTGCAACAATTAAAAAACGACCAATTTGTGGTACATAAGGCTTTAATTTAGAAATTAATGGATGATCTAATAAATCTTCAATTTGAGATGAAAATTTTTCAAATTTTTGTAAAGGAGATTCACTAGATTGTTGTTGTTGTTGAAATTGTGGTTGATTAAATCCATTTGAAGTTGGGATTTGATTAAATTTTGTACTTCTAAATGACATGTTTGTATATAACCTCAAATCAGGAATCACAAATATCAGAAATCAATTGAAGAATAGTCAAAGAATAGTAATAATAGATCAATTATATATACACCTTGATATAGCCTTGATCTAAATTAAGAATTGAAGTTAATGTAAACAATTGTGTATACGTGTTAATACAATTTCAAAATCAAAATCAAAATCCAAAACTCCAATCGCTAATTTTAAAACCTGCAACAGAAAGAAACACAAGAAAGTGAAAGTCAAAACAAAGAGTATGGATGATATAAGTGCTTATATAATGACAGTTCAGTGATTTACCCGGTTTATGGTATTTTAAATCAACACGTGACGCGTCAGATGACTTGATTACATAACAAATTAGACGTTCTTTATAATTTTAAGTCCACTTACGCGATGACAAAGCGGGAACAAAAAGAAACCCTTCAAAATTTTTATACCTATTGGCTGTTGTCTGTTCGTAATTGAATTATAAAGACATAGAATAATACAAAGTGTTTAAAGAGTAAGATTATATAGTATGGGTGTCTAAGGGTATAAATATCTATATATTATCAATCAGTACTACAATCCAATCGGTATTTCACACTTTTAAAGACTTGTTTCCGTAAATTACCATACTTTACTTACCTGAGTACCTAGTACTAGCTGATACGGATCATTAACCCTTTTCAGCCAAATTCCCATCAACTACTAAACATCAACCGTTGATTTACATAAAGGCCATAACTAAACCAAGACTTCTTGACATGAACATCTTTAATATTTCTATAAATGTGCTTATTCCCTGTATTCCTACATTGTTGTACACTGTTTACACCCTTTTATCAGTGACATCTTGTGTAGTAAATTGACTTGATCTGTACTTTTTCTTACGCAACGGCTTTAATTTAATTGATTGTGCGTATATGAAAATCAAAATTCATTTGATTTCTATACATATTTAGACCGAAAATTCTCCATTTTAAAGATAGCTAGGTATATAATCAACACTACTGCTAGTAATAAAGATATATATAAAGATCAAGGGTCCATATACATCACATACTCATTGGTTGTTAGTTGTCAGTCACTAGTTGTTGTTGTTGCTTGTTGTTCCCAGTTCCCAGATCTCACTATCATTGCTATTAAGATAACAATCAACAATCCACAATGGTTGATGTTGAACAACAAACGGTATACCCTGAAGGGTATAATAAAGATGATATGATTTTACAAAAAAGATTAATGACTCCATTATTATCTAAAAAAGTCCCTCAAATACCCAATCAAGATGAAAGAAAAAGATATCCTTATATGCATTCAAATTATATATCAAGAATTTTTTTTTGGTGGATAATACCTTTATTAAATATTGGTTACAAGAGAACTTTAACTTCAAATGATTTATATAAATTAGAAGATGATATGTCAATAAATCATACTTATCCAATTTTTGAATCTCATTTAAATAAAATTGTGGCAAAATCAAGATCTAAAGCTTTGAAAAAAAATCCAAATTTAACAGAAGAAGAATTAGAAAACATACCATATCCAAAATATTCATTAGTTAAAGCATTATTCCTTACTTTTAAAGTTAAATATTCATTAGCAATCATATTTAAAGCATTAGCTGATATTGCACAAACTTTAAATCCATTATTAACAAAAGCTTTAATCAATTATGTTGAAGAACGTGTTTATAAACCTTCAACCCCATTAGGTAAAGGTATTGGTTATGCGTTTGGTGTTGCTTTTGTTCTATTGGCAAATGGTATATTGATAAATCATTTTTTACATAATTCTTTAACAACAGGTGCTCATTGTAAGGCAATTTTAACTACAGCTTTATTGAAAAAATCTTTCAATGCAGATGCTAAAACAAGACATACTTATAATGCTGGTAAAGTTACTTCTTTAATGGGTACTGATTTGGCAAGAATTGATTTAGCTGTGGGGTTCCAACCTTTTGCTATTACATTCCCATTACCTGTTATTATTGCAATTGTCTTATTAATTGTTAATATTGGTGTTTCAGCATTGGCGGGTATTGCAATTTTCATTATATCAATTGCTATAATTGGTGCAAGTGCTAAAAGATTATTATTAATGAGAAAATCTGCAAATCAATATACAGATAAAAGAATTGGTTTCATGAGAGAAATTTTACAATCAATGAAGATTATTAAATTTTATTCATGGGAAGATGCTTATCAAAAAAATGTTACTGAACAAAGAAATAAAGAAGTTTCAATTATTTTTAAAATGCAAACTATAAGAAATTTCTTAATGGCTTATTCTGTCACATTACCAACTTTTACTTCAATGGTTGCCTTCTTAGTGCTTTATGGTGTTAAAAATGATCGTAATCCTGCAAATATTTTTTCATCATTAAGTTTATTTAGTGCTTTAGCAAATCAAGTTTTAATGTTACCAATGGCTTTAGCAACAGGTGCAGATGCAATGATTGGGATTGGTAGAGTTCGTGAATATTTACAATGTCCAGATGGTAAACCTTTAGAAAATAATGAAGATTTTGACAATAATGATGGTTCACAAATGATTAATGAAAAATTAGCTATAAAAGTTAAAAATGCATCATTTGAATGGGAAGAATTCCCAGAAGTTGAAGAAATTAAACCAATTGGGAAAGAAAAAAAGGGTCTAAGATCAAGATTTCAAAAAAAGAAGAAAGTTGATGAATTAGATGAAAAATCAAATGTCATTTTGGAAACTTCAACTTCAACTGATCAATCATTGAAAACTAATGATCAAGAAATCAATTCAGATCCAGAAACAACAGCAGCTTATACCAAAAATGTTTTCAAAGGGTTCCATGATATAAATTTTGAAATTAAAAAAGGTGAATTCATAATTGTTACAGGTCCAATTGGTTCAGGTAAATCATCATTATTAACCGCCCTATCAGGATTTATGAAGAAAACTCAAGGTAATTTAGGTATAAATGGTTCATTATTATTATGTGGTCAATCATGGGTTCAAAATGCTACTGTTAGAGAAAATATTCTTTTTGGATTAGAATTTGATGAAGTTCGTTATAGACAAGTTTTAAAAGTTTGTGCATTAACTGATGATTTAAAAAGTTTTACAGGTGGTGAATTAACAGAAATTGGTGAACGTGGTATTACATTATCTGGTGGACAAAAAGCTCGTATTAATTTAGCTCGTGCAGTTTATGCAAATAAAGATGTTTTATTACTTGATGATGTCTTAAGTGCAGTTGATGCTCGTGTTGGTAAACATATTATGGATAATTGTTTGGTTGATTATTTACATGGTAAAACAAGAATCTTAGCAACTCATCAATTGTCTTTAGTTAATGATGCTGATAGAATTATTTATTTAAATGGTGATGGTACTATTAATATGGGTACTGTTGATGAATTATTAGCAACAACTCCAGGTTTTGTTACATTAATGGAATATAGTAAAAAATCTCAAGATGAAGAAAATTCTGAAGATGATGATGATGGAAAACCTGAAGTTATAGGTGAAGCTGATGTTACTTTACAAGCAACTAAATCAAATACAGTTAGTGAAAAAGCTGGAAATGCTGAAACTGGTGCATTAATTAAAGCTGAAGAAAAAGCTGTTAATCAAACATCATGGAAAGTTTATTTAACTTATTTAAAAGCTGGTAATGGTATCTTTGGAATTTTTGCAAGTCCTTTAGCTATATTATCATTAGTTATTGAAGTTTTCTGTGGGTTATTTGTTAATGTTTGGTTATCTTTCTGGATTGAATATAAATTTAAAACAAGAAGTGATGGATTTTATATTGGGATTTATGTTATGTTTGTGTTCTTATATACGGGTTTTAGTTCATGTACTTTTGTTTTAATGGGTTATATTACAATTTTTGCTGCAAAAGTTTTAAATTTAAGAGCTATGCAAAAAATTTTACATGCACCAATGAGTTATATTGATACTACACCAATTGGTAGAATTATGAATAGATTTACCAAGGATACAGATGCTTTAGATAATGAAACTGGTGAACAAATTAGATTATTTTTACATCCAACATTTTCAGTTGGTGGTATTTTAATTATGTGTATTATTTATTTACCTTGGTTTGCAATTGCAATCCCACCATTAGGTGTTGTTTTCGTTTGTGTTACAAATTATTATCAATCATCATCAAGAGAAATTAAAAGATTAGAAGCTGTTAAAAGATCATTTGTTTATAATAATTTTAATGAAGTTTTAGGTGGTATGAATACTATAAAAGCTTATAATGCAAGTGATCGTTTTATTTTGAAAAATTCAGAATTATTGGATAATATGAATGAAGCTTATTTCTTAGTTATTGCAAATCAAAGATGGATTTCAATTCATTTAGATGCAGTTGCATGTGTTTTATCATTAATTGTTTCATTATTATCAGTTTCAAGACAATTTAATATTAGTCCAGCTTCTGCAGGGTTAGTTGTTACTTATACATTAAATATGGCTGGTTTATTATCATTAATTTTAAGAGCTTATACACAAGTTGAAAATGAAATGAATTCAGTTGAAAGATTATGTCATTATGCAAATGATTTAGATCAAGAAAATGCTTATAGAAAACCAGAAACTCAACCTTCTTCAAATTGGCCAGAATTTGGTTCATTAAAATTTCAAAATGTTTCATTACGTTATAGAGATGGATTACCTTTAGTTTTGAAAAATTTAAATGTAAATATTAAAGGTGGTGAAAAAATTGGTATTTGTGGTAGAACAGGTGCAGGAAAATCATCAATAATGACTGCATTATATAGATTAAGTGAATTAGCTGAAGGTGATATAATTATTGATGATATAAATATTAAACAATTGGGACTTTATGAATTAAGATCAAAATTATCAATTATTCCTCAAGATCCAGTATTATTTCAAGGTTCAATTCGTAAGAATTTAGATCCATTTGATGAACATGATGAAGATAAATTATGGGATGCATTAAGAAGAAGTGGATTAATTGAAGATGAACAAGTTTTAGAAGTTATTAAAAAACAAGATAAATTGGATGAAAATTTCCATAAGTTCCATTTAAATCAACAAGTTGAAGATGAAGGTGCAAATTTCTCATTAGGTGAACGTCAATTATTAGCATTAGCAAGAGCATTAGTTCGTGATTCAAAGATTTTAATTCTTGATGAAGCTACGTCAAGTGTTGATTATGAAACAGATGCAAAGATTCAAACCACGATTGCTAATGAATTTAAAGATTGTACAATTTTATGTATTGCACATAGATTAAAGACAATTTTAGGTTATGATCGAATTTTAGTTTTAGAACAAGGTGAGATTGAACAATTTGATGAACCAGTAACCTTATTTAATGAAGTTGATGGTATTTTCAGACAAATGTGTGATAGATCTGATATCAAGAGTTCTGATTTCCTCAAAGATTCGTATGTATATAATAGTTCATAGTGTAATAATATAATAGTTTAATATAATTGTTTATGATTGGTTAAATGAAAGTAGCAAACTGAGTCAAATGATTCACCCGAAAAGTTCGCGAGTCCTGCGCGAACCGGATTTCCCGATTTCTGACTAAATCTGAAAATAGTTTGAATTTTTGAACCCACTTTTATGTCATTATTAATGAAGTCAAAAGAGTGGGTGGATACTCAGATTTATATTATTCCAAACATCATACAACACAGACAAACAGCAGAACAACAAGATATAGACAACAGATCAGTATGTTCAGCAGAAGTATCATAAGCCAGTTGCCTAGAACACTATCTAGAGCCCTACCTAGATCTCAAATACCTAGTGGTTCTTCCATATCCATATCAAGACCAACATTTATCCGTTCTTTATTTATACAGACTGAAGATACACCGAATGAACAAGCTTTAAAATTCTTACCATCAATGAATATTATGCCTCAAGGTGAAACTGTGGAATATTTAAGTGGTAGAGAAGCCTTTTCATCACCATTAGCTAAAAAATTATTTGCTATTGATGGTATTAAAACTGTTATGTTTGGTAGTAATTTTATAACTGTTGAGAAAAAACCTTCAATTCAATGGATGTTAATTAAACCTGAAATTTTCAGTATATTAACTGAAACTTTAACATCAGGAGAACCTATATTTGATGAAGACACTGTATTACCAAGAGATGCTGCATTTGATGAAGAAGATGATGATATTGTAGCAATGATTAAAGAATTAATATTTACAAGAATTAGACCTGCAATTCAAGAAGATGGTGGTGATTTAGAATTTGTTAAATTTGAAGAAGATAATGGTACTGTGTGGTTAAGATTAAGAGGTGCATGTAGATCATGTGATAGTAGTAGTGTTACATTAAAACATGGTATTGAATCAATGTTGAAACATTATATTGAAGAAGTTGAAAATGTTGAACAAATTGAAGATGAAGAAGAAGTTGAAGAATTGGATCCATTAATTGGTATTAAAAAAGATAGACATGTTCATCAAAATCATCAAGAAGAAGTTCCACCAAATTTATGATTTGATTGATACAAATTGATGATGAAAAATTTCTTGCATATATAGGTCAAATATGACTTTTTTATTTATTAATATATACCATACAATATTCTTGATAAGTTATTATTCGATGTAGTTTTACATTATGATTAGACATTCAATCATGTACTGTAAGTAACCTATATACAATTTTAAACTTTGATCTAATACTAAGGTGTAATTCGATCTAAATTGATAATTTCTCTAATTCTTTAGTTAAAGAATCTTCATCATTTGACCAATCATTAATCAAATCTAAATAAACATTTGATTTTGAATTTTCTTTATTTTGTTCTCTAAACTTAATTTGATCTTTAATAAAACTTAATGTTTTCTCTTCCACATCAGATTCTTTTGATCCAGGACTAGCTTTAATTAAACTTGAATCAATTAAGAATTTAGAAATTTTAGAATTTTTATCTTCTTCATTATCTAATAAATTTATTTCAGAAATTAATTTAAGGAATTTATCATCTTGTGAATTAGTATTTCTCAATCCATTATTATTATATTCATTTTGATATTCATAACCTGTGCCTTGGTCATATTGTTGATGTTGTTTAAAAGGTTTATAACCATTATAATAACTTCTATATCCATTACCATATCCATTCCCAGAAGGTGGTGGAACAGGTTGACCAGCTTGTGTATTATAATATTGATAAGGAGGTTGATTTGGATTTTGATACAACCCATTATAATAAGATCCATTTGGATGAATTGGAATTTGTTGTTGTTGTTGTTTACCAAATCTTTTCTTATTATTCTTTTGTGCAAAACTAACATGAAGCATTTGTCCATGTAATACATTCCCATGCATTGCAATTAAAGCTCTTGAAGCTTCAGGAGAAGTTCTAAAACAAACAAATCCATAACCTCTTGATTCTCCTTCATCTGTAGTCATGATTTTAGCTGAAACTATAATACCAAATGGTGCAAATGATGAATGTAATATAGAATCATCTATGGATGGAGCCAAATTACGTACGTAAAGATTTGAAGGTTGTTGATCTGGTGCAGGGATTGGTAATTGAATAGTTGTTGTTGGTAATCCATTTGGTACTCCAGTTGGTGGTATTGATGTTACTGTTGATGCAGTTGATGGTGGGATTAATTGATTTGGAATGAAATTTGGTGAAGTTATAGCTTCAATTGAATGTGGAACTGGCGGTTGTGTTATTGGTGAAGTTATTATACCTGGTATAGAACCCTGAGAAGTTATTGGAGGTGATTGAAATAAAATAGGTGCAGGTTGTGGAGAAATTGAATTATTTCTAATTTGAAATTGTCCATATGGAGTTGTTTGATAATTATTTGAATTTTTTGGATTTAAATTGTTATGAAATTGTTCATTTCTTTCATCACGACGTTGAGCTCTTGATACTGATAAGAATTGATTTGGAGATATTTCAAAATTATTCAGTGATTCAATTGCAGATATAGCAGATTCATGATTTTTAAAATTTATAAAACCAAATCTTTTGGAAGTTTGATCTCCATCATTTAAATCTGGTAAGAAACTTGAACTAATTTCACCAAATTTGGCAAACAAAGATTCAAATTGATCAATTGTATAATCAATTGGTAAATTTTTAATATAAAGATTTGTAAAATTTGATTTTTCAAAATCAATTCTTTGAATACGTTCTTTTTTAGCAATATGATGATTTAAATATAATTTTGATCCATTAACTAATAATCCATTCAATTTGGAAATTGCATCATCTGCACTTGATCCATCTGAATAATTTATAAAACCATAACCTTTTGAACGACCAAATTCATCATTAACAATTTTGGAACTTGTAATTTCACCAAATGGTTCAAAAATCTTGAATAAATCTTCAGTTGTAATTTCAGGACCAAGACCACGAACATAGATATTACCAGGATGAGTTAAAGCATCAAATTCAACAGATATTTCAACTTGGGGGAATTTTAATTTAAATGACTTTTCAAAAATTTGAGCTTTTAATTTATCCATAAATTTTAATTTTATATATGGAGGAGTTGTTGATAATAATTGGAAATCACCTTGATGTTGAATTAATAACGATTGAATATCTATAGGTTCTGAAGTTGTTATAGTGATGATTGCATTTGAATTTAAAGGAGAATGGAATTGATGGGTATCATCTGAAGATCTAGGTTGGTCATCTTCTGGGTCTTCATGATCTTGATTTATTTCTTCCTTAGGTTTATCCACTGCTTCAGTAGTCTGGTCTAATTGATCCTTCTCCAATTTTTGATGTTCTTCCTTGGAAATTGACATTTTCTTGATCTTCAATAACTTAATTAACGGTTCAATTTAAGTGTATACAGTTTATTATAATTGATAGATCTTGAGTCATATATATATCTGGGGATGAGTTGATTGGTATGAACAATGAACTATGAACTAATGGAACAAAGAACAAAGAACAGTTGATCCAAGTATGAGAATAAAGATCAATGATACAACTCAAGATTAAATCAGATTCGAATTAAATTATAAATTTAGAATAACTTGAGAGTAGTCATAGAGTACACTTTCACGAACCCAACCAATTAAATCTCACTAAATTTCAAAGTACCCTTAGAGGATATACCCTTTTCTCGGGAAGTGGAAATAAACTCTAAGCGTAATGACCCATAATTCCCACAGATCCAGTACAAATTTCGAACAAACTAGGCAAAAATTGGACAGTTGAGCCTAGCTTCTGGCCTAGCTGAGCACCTAGTAGGCTTGTCACAGGTGTAATACGCTCAAGAGGACCCAACTCCCACCACTTGTCTGTTCACTCTGTTCACTTTCAACAGGTTATCACGGCTAATCCAATTCCTTTCTTTCCTACACTACTCGGACATAGAAACAAGTGACTATTAACTATATCTTCACAACTACTTAACCATTGACTATAGATCCAATTGAACCCACCCATCCTTCTTAGCTGGATTATCAACTGATCAAAAATGATTTTGAATTGACATGGTTCCTGGTTCTCGCTGTTACTCACCCACCTTTTGTTTGACTTGTTTAACCCTTTACTCAACTTCGGCTCATCGGGGCGTGTTCTCCTAAATAGAATTATTATGCCTCTTTAAAGTATCTCCATACGGGTACAATTGATAAAACACCTACACCAACTACACCATTTCAAAAGATTCAATTTAATTAATATAGCACAATACAATAATAATCATTTACTCCATTTCTCATAATAAAAACACAGTAATATAATATAATAATAATTGTAAAAACAACAATATAAAAATAGTGGGCAAAAACCTTGTGGAGAAGTATGAAAATATAAAACACCTTTGGAATCAAAATAGTATACAATTTCTTTATATAAATGTATAGAAATACATATTATAATAAAGATCTTAATTATCAATTCTCAAATATCCATTGAATCCTAAATCAAACATAATCAATCTTATTATCTTTTTTTTCTTTTCAAACAAAATAATTAACAAACACAACATTAATATATAAAAAAATAAAATATAATAATTTCTTCCAAAAAACATTCTAAAAGTATGGAATATCCAAAATTATAATCATCCAGATAATTAACAAAATAAAAATATAAAAATACAAAATGGGTATCAAGGTAAAATATAAAAAAACAAAAATAGTATAAACTATTTGGTAATAACACAAAGAATTGAAACAATTCAATTCAAATCATCATTAACCAGAAAAGCAAAAAAAAATTAAGTAATAACCCAAATAATCATTATTCAAAATCTATTTCTTTGGTCTACCAGCAGATTTTTTAGCTGGAGCAGCTTTTTTAGTTGTAGTAGCAGCAGCTTTCTTTTTTGGTGCAGCAGCTTTTTTAGCTGGGGTTGGTTTTTTAGCTGGAGCAGCTTTTTTAGTAACTTTACTAGCTGTAGCTTTAGTAGCTTTCTTTGGGGCAGCAGTAGTAGTAGCAGCTTTCTTTGGAGCAGCTTTTTTTGGAGCAGCAGTAGTGGTAGCTTTTTTAGCAGCTGGTTTAGCAGCAGCTTTCTTAGCAGCAACAGCAGCTTCTTTGTTTAATTTAATTGGACCTGATGGACCTTTTGGTTGGATAAAGATTTCTTTTTCAACACCTCTTCTTAAAGCTGAATTAAATAAACTATCAAAGTTTGCAGCAGTAATATTATAATTAGTTTTAATGTATTTTTTCAAAGCTTGACGAGATGAACCATTACGATCTTTTAATGATAAAATACCAGTTTTAATCAATTCTAATCATTATAGTTTTGTTATTAATTCATTCATTTGAATTCTTAATACTTTTTTTGTTTACAAAAAAGCAAGGATGGGAAACCCAAAAAAAGACACTTTATACTCACCAGCATATGGAGGATGTTCAGGTTTTTTAGCGGCAGTTGTAGCCTTGGTGGTCTTAGTGGTGGAAGCAGCTCTGGCCATTGTGATTTATAATGTCAATTAAATTGTTAACTTTCTCTGTTGAGTTGTTGATGACTTCAAAAGTTGTTTGTAAAAAGAAGGAGGAAAACAGCAAAATGTTGTTTATTTATTTTCTGAAACTTTGAATATTTTGGTTTGTTTTGATTTTAAGAATTCAATTTTCAAATTTTGTAAAGAGACGCGTTTCTGCCAAAGGGAGTTATTTAGGCAGAATTTCCGGTATAGACACACACAGATAGGCAGGAAACAAGGTGATTTTAATGGGGAAATTTGGTTAAAAAGCGCGTTTATCTCTTTAAAAGTAGCATATTATGAAGTTTAAACTAATATTATTCTTCATTATTAACTATGGTTATGTTGTTATCTGTTATTTAGTATTGTTTATATAATTTTAGTTTCTCAGTAGTTACCATAGTGATTTGTTTTGATTTTTTATTTGTGTATTTCGTTACCATGGTTAATTAGTTTTGATAAAGGGGACACATATTGTTTTCGCGGAATATCAAGTCACATGACTGGGGCTTCACCGCGAATTTGGGAAAAATTTAATATATACTAAAAGGTAAACAAATCTTTTTGATATAAAGGATATATTGAATCTTGATTGATTTATATTGAAAAAAGAAAGAAAAGATATTTATTAGAAGAGATTCTAATGCCTAGCGGATCACAATGGTTGATGAACATGAGAATATAGCAGATGAATCCATAAAAAAAGGATTATCTGATAATAATAATAATAATAATAATAATAACGATGCTATAAGTGATGCTATAGATAAAGATATTGAAATTTCTAAAAATGTTGAAGATGAACAATTAACAGGGAGAGGATCTTCTGCTCAAGATTTTGAAGATGCCATGGATAGAGTATTGGGCGGCTTATCTGAACAAGGACCTCATGATCATGATAATATTGATGTTAATGATGATGGAAGCAATAATAAAGTATCAGAATCACATGAACAAAACCATGGTCAAGATCATGATGTATTAAAAGAAATTAATGATGTTTTAGATCATGAAAACGCACAAGGTTCAAATATTGAAAATGAAAATCAAGAACAAAATATAGAGAAACAAGATGAAGCTACTAAAGAATCAACAAATGAAGTACATAATCCTAATGAGAAATCACAGGATGATTCTTTACCTGATCAAGAGCCAAAAGAGAAATCTAATGAACTTCAAGAACAAGAGCAAGAGAAACATAAGGGTCAACCTCAAGACCAATCACAAGAGCAAATACAAGAACAATCCCAAGAACAATCACAAGGACAATCCCAAGAACAATCTCAGGAACAACCTCAAGAACAAAATCAAGACAAGGAAGATCAAGTTCAAAATAAACAACAACAACAATCTACTACACAAGATGATCTAGCTCATAAAGAATCACCAAAAGATAAAGAACAAGAACCTAAAGAGAATCAACAATATTCAGAATCATCTATAGAGCCATCTTTACAATCACCACATTCCATAGATACAATCATTAGAAATGGTGTTCCAATTCCAAAAGATTCTGCTTTATTAACACCATTACAGATCTCATATAATCCATTACAAGAAGATGAAGTATCTTCTGATGTTTTAGTAAAGGCAAATTTAGCTTCATTGCCATTATCTTTACAAGCTCATGAATCATTATCAATTAGAGTTCAATTTTTAATACATTCAGTTCCATTATTAGATAATATAGCTACTCAAATCTTGAGAATTATTGGTGTGGGTCCATATGAAGAAACTTTAGCAATTATAACAGCTGAAGAACCAACTCCAGAAGGTTTGGTTTATAAAGATCTTGTTGAATTATTTGAACAAGTTAAAAGAATATTCTCTGAAGAAGATCCATTTTTAAGTTTCCATAATATAATTGAAGATTTGAATGAATTAAGTTTAGATGTTGTTAAAAGTTTAAGAAATTTAGAAGATCAATTAGATTCTGCTTTTAGAAAAGCTAATTTAGCTTCATTTTTATTAGCTACTTTAGGTTCTATTGAAGTTGGGTTTTTCTATTTAAATGAATCATTTTTAGATGTTTTCTGTCCAACTTATAATAATGGATGGACTAAAAATCCAAATTCAACATATCATCAACATTTGAATAGTACAACTTCTATAACTGCTGGAAAATTATTAAAAGCTCAAGCTGCTTTATTTTTAGAATTGAAAACTCAAGCTTATATATCAGCTTTAGAATCAGGAGATCGTTCAAAAGAAGAAGTTTTAGATGATATTTTCCCAGATTTTTTGAAAGATCAATTATTACATCGTCGTCAAACTACTGAATTAACTCCAGCTGAACAAGATTTCTTACAACGTTGTAAATCACGTCGTGAAACTTTATTCTCAACACCAGATGATCAAGATCTCGCAGAACATTATGAATGGTTGATTTTTTTAAAAGAATTATTTAATTATGTCTCCAAAAATATTGGATTTTTAATATGGGGTAGAAAAGGTCGTCATCAAGAATTAACAACTATTGGATTTGATTCAAGTGGTTCTTCAACTCCAATAACAGCTTTTGCATCATTTTCTAAAGAAGAATTACAAAGAAAATTAGAGGAACAAAGACTTAAAGAACGTGAAGCTAAAGAAAGAGCTGAAAAGCAAGATCGTGAAAAATTACCAACTGCAAGACAATTGAATAAAAAGAATCAACTACAAAAATCTACAACCGGAAGTAATTCAAGTGGGAATACTTCACGTCAAAATAAATCAACTGCTGCTAGAAATCCACCACGTTTACGTCATATTTTACGTAGACCATGGACAGGTGAAGAGGAAGAAGCTTTAATTGATGCTTTAAAACTTATTGGTCCTCAATGGTCTAAAATATTAGAATTACACGGTGCTGGTGGTTCAAAATCTGAAGCTTTAAAAAATAGAACACAAGTTCAACTAAAAGATAAAGCAAGAAATTGGAAAATGGGATATTTGAAAAATAAAGGTGAAGCACCTGATTATTTATCAAAAGTTACAGGTGATTTAGGTGATGATCGTTCAACTAAAAAGAGAAGACGTGATAATACCAATGCTAAAAATGCAACAAACTCTGCTGCTGCTCAAAGTGGAGCACCACCTTCACTAACAGGTAATAAGAAAGCTCGTGCTACTGCCAAATCAATCACAAGTGATAATAATTTATCAAATCAAGAAATCCAATCATCAACTAGTGAAACCAATAGAGTATCGCAACAAGAAAGTAGTGTTAGACTAGAGAAACCTGACGATCAAAGTTCTGATAAAACCACTGATAAGGAAACAAATACTTCACAAGATCCTATAACGAGTGAGAAGGGACCCGATGGTGATGTTTCAATGCAAGAATAATGTAATATAAATTATTTTAATCACAATCAAGTTTTGTATTGTATTTTGTATTTATTTATCTCCGAAACCTCAAACCTCAAATATTTATCTCCGACCGCTCATGAAAAACTAAATTTCCGCGAATATATTCAATTATTTTTGAAATGAGGCAACTTTTTCCTTCGAAACTACCGAAAAATGTTCATATGATACTTGTTTTAACAAAACATTGAATGTGTCTTGCTAATCAATGGTCTAATAATTTAATTACTTTTGAAACAAATTTTTGATAGATCACCTTAAAACCTACCTTTTAGATCATACTAGAAAAGTTAAAAAAGAAATCTCACAAAAAGTTTATTAGATTCCTCATCATTCATTATAATAAATAAGGAAGAAGTACCACGATATATAATTATCACATATACATCTGATCATCAAATTTAAGAAAAAAACAAGGGAGCCCAACACATAAAGTGGAATTTATCCGAGAAATACAATATACTCAAATGCCACTTCATCAACAATAATAGAGAATACAAATGCAAGTTATGAGTTATCAACAGGAGGATCAACAAGAATACATTACCAATCGTATAAATAAAGCGAGATTAGAAACTCGTCAATTATATTCACAGATTGATAAAGTTAAAGCTAAGATTCAAGATACAACATTATTAGAAAGTTCAAAACAAATAGCACCATTATCCAAAAATGCAGTGAATTTAAAACTTTTACAAAAATTACAAGGTCATAATAATAAAATAGCTGATATTAAATGGGCTCATGATTCAAAATCAATATTAAGTGCATCACAAGATGGATTTTTACTTATATGGGATCCAGTAACAGGATTAAAATTGAATGCAGTTCCATTAGATTCACAATGGGTTTTATCATGTGCATATTCACCAAATGGTCAACTAGTTGCAAGTGCAGGTCTAACGAACAATTGTACCATTTATAGAATTGGATCAAGTGTACGGGATGATTTCCAATTTCAACAAAGGATAGTATCTATACTTAAGGGGCATACATGTGGTATTACAGCTTGTGATTTTGTTGATAATGAAGAGATTTTAACTGCAAGTGGTGATATGACATGTGCATCATGGGATTTAAATAAAGGTAATAAAAAAGATGAATATTTAGATCATCTTGGTGATGTTTTATGTATGGATATTGATAGATCAAAAGGATCTATAAATTTCGTATCAGGTGCATCGGATGGTTATGCTAGAATTTGGGATAGAAGAGGTGCAAGTCTTGAACAAAGTTTCTTTGTGAGTAATAGTGATGTTACAAGTGTTAAATTTTTTAAAGATGGAAATTCAATAGTTACAGGAAGTGATGATGGTATTATAAGATTATTTGATTTAAGAGCTGATTGTGAATTGGCAAGATACTCATTACCGAGAGCTATACAAGAATCAAATAAAGCTAATCAAACATTTTTAACACCAAATACACCATCACCATATGGAAATTATAATTTGACACAAAGTCCATATTCAAGACATCAATCAACTGCATCTATATCAAATTCTTTAAATTCTGCTATTGATAGTTCAGGTGTAACATCATTAGATTTTAGTTCATCAGGAAGATTAATGTATTCATGTTATACAGATCATGGTTGTATGATATGGGATTTATTAAAAGCTGAGATTGTGGGTAAATTGGAAGGACATAGTAATCGTACATCTCATGTTACAGCATCACCAAATGGATTAGCAGTTGCAACTGCTTCATGGGATACAACAATGAGAGTTTACACCCCATCTTATGTATGAGTATAATGAATCATGTTTTTTTAATAGTGTAATTATTATCATGTAGATCTACATCAATTAATTTCAAACAAAAAACAACGTTCATCTAAATTTACAATAATAATATTAACATAATTTTATACTTTTAGCTTTGATAGTTTTAAACGGCAATAAAATAGATCATTTGCAAAAAAATTTCCATAATAATAAAAAAATAGTACATTGTTTATTCAATACGCTTTTTAACGTATTCTGATAAACTTTTCAATAAACTATCAGGTAAAGAGTAAAGATCCATTGTAAATTCACCTTCTTCAACATCATTTTTAATATTCATTTCTGGTGTACGGTTATCAGTAACCATTTGAACAACACCTAACAAATCATCTTCACTTAATTTAGTTAAACCTTCAGCTAATTTTTCTAAATCTACACTACCTTTAACAGCACCTGTCATGGTACTTGAACCTAATTTTGATCTTTTAGATTTAGAATCAGAAGCATTGTTTTGTTTACGTTTATCACCAATAGTTTCATCAATTTCTGGAACTGGTCCACTTTCAGCTAATATAGATCTTAAATTTGCAGATTTTTGAATTGGAATACTTATGGTATGATCAACTTCATATTTATTTTGTAAGAAATTCAAATCATGACCTAATTTTCTATCACCACTCTTATCAAGTAAAGTTAAAGTTAAACCCAGTTCAAATTCACCCCAACCTTCTTCTTCAATCTTGAAAGGAGCTTTCTTGAAAATACGAGTTGGATTTTGGAAAGTTGGATGTAAATGGTATGTGACTTTATCGAATATTGTGGCTGGGATTTGTTTTCCAGATTCATCTAATAGAAATATTTCAATTGACCAAGAACGCATTGGGAATCCTTCAGGTGGTATTGGTCTACCTTCCACTATATTTTGATTTGTAACGATTCTGATTGTTCTTTGCACCTAAACGAACTGTGTTAGTAAAGTATTCTAAATAGACATACTGCAAGAGATCACACTGTTTCTATTCAGATCGGACTCGATTCAGATATCATTTCGACGGTTGAATCTAGTATATATTTGATGTAAATGCCTTCATTCGACACGTCTTTTGGAATATCTTCCCAAATCACAAAATTTAAATCAAATAATCCGTCTGAATAGCGCGGTTAACTTCTAGCAAAAGCTACTCACTTCAGTCATTCTGATATATTATTCTGTCCAAGTTTCTTCTGGTACTTTTCCCGATGAATTTGCAGTTCAATCGATGTTTTTGCTTCTATTAAACCACTGAATTATAGCGCTTTTTCGTTTTTTTGTTTTTTCACGATTGTTGATTTTTTTCCTTCACCACGAATTAATCCTTAACTATGACAAATGACAAACTGGTTCAATAAAAGCATAGGACATTATTTTGATACAAAAGACTCAGTTGAAGCCTCTGAGAAATAGTGAAAAGAGGAAATTATGGTGAAGAATTGGCTCACTGCTACGCTAAGATAATGTTTTGAAAATTTCTCCTTCAATTTTAAGCTATATCTGTTTATACAATTAACCACTAATCAAAAATTGCCAATACATTGATAAATCACCAAAAGGCAAGCAATGCTGTAACCCCACCAATAAACAAAACTGTGAAATATGAATTGGCATCCATGTTCAATGATGCTGCACTGTTGTCAAACCTGGAAAGCATTGATCTTAATGATTTACCCTTTTTAGCTGCTGAACTTCTACTAATTTCAGTATCATTGGCACCTTTATCAGTACGACCAAGGAATGATGGAATTTGTCCTTGTTGGAAATTGTTTAAATTGGATGCTGAATCACCTTTGGTATTGGTTGAATTCCCAATTAATAAAGATGTTGATTCCTCACTATCCAAAATTTGTTTTCCCTTGGTAATACCATCTTGATCTTCTGAACTTGGAACTTCTTCTTCTTCTTCAACAAAATCAACACCATCTTCAGGATCATGATCACCAATCGGTTGTGGAATAGGATGACCTTGCTCATTCTTTTCTGGAGCGGTAAAGTTTGAATGGATATATTTACTTTCTTCATCTCCAATATTTGGTTTAGCTTCATTTAGATCTGAATTAGGAGATTCAAGAAGATTATTTTCAACTGGTTTATTTTGATCAAATGATGGGTTAGGCTCATTAATAGCACTTGATTGATCTGCTGGTCTTGGTTTTTCTAACTCCTTTGGGTTTTCATTGCCTCTATAACCTGGTTGAAGATGGTATGGAGATGCTGCATCAATTGAACCTTCACCTTCGTTATCATCATCATCATTATTATTTTCTCCATCATAGTCATAGCTTTCGTCATAATCATAATCTTCACCATCATCATCTTCATCGTCATTATCTTGATTCAATTCCTGAAATTTGACTTGATCTTCAATTTCTGGATCTTGATCACTTTCTAAACGACTTTGAAAATAGTCAGCATCATAACCCAAAAGTGCAGCTTCATTGTTTTTATCCTCATCGCTATTTGCGTCATAATTTTTGGTTGCTTGTGTTGTTTCTGGTGTTGAGATACCATCTATTATATTGTTAGTTCAAATTCCAAAAATATTAAGCAATTACAAATACTTACCATTCAGTATTGGAGCAGCTTGATTCTGTTGTGTTTCTTTTGTTTCTTTATCATCACTAGAAGGAGTCACATAATTATCTTTATCATTTGGTATACCAACAGTCTCATATAATGTTTGGGTAATGATAGGACTGTTTTTATCAGTTGGTGTTTCTTTTGGTATATAAGTAACGGTATGAATTTCAGTGATTGTCTTTGTTGGAGGCTCAGTGACTGTTGCTGATAATGCAAATGGTAATAAACTCAATGCCACTGGTATCAATTGAATCCCTCTCATATTGTTTATTGAAACTGATATTAAATGGAGGTTAATTCTAGTTTAGATAACGATTGAAGTCACCAACTAGTTAAACCGCAAGATCATTTTGATGGCATTCTCTATTTAGCTACCACAAATTCTAATATTCACCTGCAATTTTAATGACACAAAGACAAACATCTAATTCAGATTATGATTTAGGTTTGAAATACACTGAATGTCGTTTTTGTGTTCAAATGATATCTCCGTTCTATACCAAAATAGATCCGCCCGTGAACATTATAGCACAGATCATGGATTGTTCGATAGTGTAGATGGAATAATCATGATACCAATTTGTCTAATACTCTACTCTGAGATCTATTCAGCTAAATATCACTCCGGATATTCCTAATTGATGATATTTGGTAGTTTTCCCGCGATTTTTTTTTTCGTATAATAATATTTATTGAAATCACTATATATAACAATTTTATAAATATAAAAAGTAGTTATAAAAATTGGAAACTAAAAGATACATCCTCAATGGAGTTTGTATAGAAAAAAAGAGTCTCATGTGATTCCCTCATTTAATTTAGATCTCTTTGATCCTTATGGTTTGTTGGGACTATGCCCTTTTATTATGGTTAAGATTTAAATTGAGG